ATGTACCATATGTATCGATATATCGTTACTGTAAAATATCTACATTGGGCTTCGATATTTCGTGAATCAAAGGTACTTAATATTTGAAAGAATGTTAAGAGGATCAACATTGAATTTTTTTTTAATTGGTTAATATTAAAATCTGTCACAATTAAGGACATTTATAACAGTGTTCAGAGAGAACATTCACACTCTATTTACAAAATTAATGCTAAAAGTAAATGTATACAAACATTGAATTAAAGTCTTAAATTTATGATCCCTTAATAGCAACAATTATTATCCGTATATTTCTTATCACAGAAAAGGTATCGATTAATCAATATTTACTCGATTAAAAAGAAATTAGAAAAAAAAATAATCAATCCAATGAAATATGTTACAAAGATCTAAATTGAATTTATAATGACTAATTGTAAAACTTATAAACTTCATAGATATTTCTGAGGCTTAGTGTTTAATACTTCTCCCATATTGATGCGTTTTCACAATAAACATTTTTATTTTTATTTATTTGTTTTTTGAAAAGAATATCGTTATTTTGCCAACCTCCCTAGCTTAGAGCAAGTTTCTAAACTCAGCAGCAATGGACAACGATTTATGCTGAGATTAGGAACGACCTGTTGGATGCTAGCAGAAGGTTACAAAATACGTTGAAAAAATATAAGAAAATGAATATGTAGAGGATTTTTGAATTTCCAAAAAGGAATAAATATAGATAGAAAGCAAACTGAATAACTGAATAAGTAAATTGAAAAATAACAACACTGAGGTCATAATGAGATTCCATCCAGAGGATCCATCAACGACCTCAAGCCGATGGAACCGCTGAGCCATCGATAGTTATAGCAACATTTGATTGGTTTTCGATGCCATGAGCTTAGTAACTTGGCCATTTTGTTCTTTGTTGCTCATCAAATGCAAATGAAACAAGCCACTGAAATTATAAAAGTTAATATGAACGAATTTACATTAACTCGAGGCAGTTGGTGCCCATCCTCCCCCTCTCTCTCCTAGGTTGATCGCCCCAAGAACCTATCTCCTCCTCCTCCCAAGATATTTTATTGCTCACCTTTTCATACAAACAGAGCAAGCTAACATAGAATTAAAATAATCTTAAATAATATACACTTACACTACTTCTGCTACACGTTTTCTCCTTGCCCCTTATTCTGAAATTTTTAGTTCCGAAAATTCATAACCTCGTTGAAATATGCTCTCCTCAAAAATTTAAAAACCCTTAAAAATATGTCACCCTTAAAAAGTTTAATGGCAAAATTTGCGCCATAAAAACCCCTTCTGGGCACCCCTGAGTCGAAGTATTTTACTTTTTCGATTTGTGGAATTGTATTGAGTTATTATGTTTAGTATGAGGGTTGTCGTTCTTGTCATCACAATTCTTGGTAGTTTGTCCGACTCACTTTGAAGAAAGATATACTGGCGTCGCTATTTCAATTAGTTTTTTTTTTTTTTTTTTTGGCTTTAAGCACGTCGACCCCTTTGGGTCCATTGTGCGCCTTTCAATTAGTTACTTCCTGGTGTATGTTCACTCATTACGCAATATCCTAAGAAGTGTGATATCTCTTTGGAAAACCGACCGATGGAATATTTATATTTGTTGTACGATAGCCGTCTTGGTTGAGACGTATTGCGTTTAGTCAGTAATCAATGATATATTTATCGGTATTTTATTTGATTATTTATCTCGATCGCCTGTCTATTCTTATTCAGTTGTATTAAAACTACACTGGACGCTTCGATTTTTATTTTTATTGTTTTGTATTTAAATTTCTTGAGCCTATCCCAAAGTTAGTATTTTATTTTTTTTTTAAATATTCTACCATTCTAACTATCCTCGATCTAACTTGACAGGGTACTGCTAACTACTGCGGAGGTGAGTAAGCCTTGAAGAGAAGCGATCTCATCCAGTCTGTGTGGGCGTGGTGTGGTGTGGCATTTAGGGAAAACGGACTGCTCTCGAGTAATTTTATATCAGCTGGGGGGGGGGGGGCGGGTCTATAGTCTATAGAGTGCTCTCTGTAACATCTCTACCTTATTTCTTATTAAGTAACTTCTTGTTTAATATTAATATTTAATACTGTTAAATTTATTTCTAACTAGCTGATGTACCTGTAGTTGTTGACGGGAATATAGTTAAAATTTGTATTAGAACTTGATCTGAATATTGTGGCGGGCGGTGTGAAATTTTTTGGGAGTTTTTTTTTTCGATTTCCTGCTAATCCGTTTGGTTATCCTTTAATGTATACGACAACATTTGTTAGGCTCGGGAAGTTGAATCGAAAGACACCTTGATCGGCAAGATCGGACAAAGTTGAAAAATGAGTGTGTTTTATCCGTATTTTAAACGACAACGCGTTACGGATGTTCGAGATTTCGGATTTTTCCCGTTGAGTTGTGATAATTTTTTCCATCAGTTGAATAGTAAAACTTTTAAATGAGGCTCGCGGTAGAGTAGGTTGGAGTGAGAATCGGAAGTAAGTAAGTGCCTAACCGAGATTTCTAAACAAATTACTCAAGAATTCAAACTTTCTGGTTCTATTCAATATTTTGTTTTCATTTAAAGCTTATGTCTTAAGTCAAGCAAATCTAAATATAATATCAAAAGTCTACCATTAGCCATTGCTGAGCTAACCCCTGACAAAATTTCGTTGTACAATGCGGACATACAGACAGGCAAAATTTTTTAAAAAGTAGATTTGGTGTCTGTAATGTATGAAACGGAAATATATCATGAAACGGGTTGATTCTATTCAATGTACAGACAAAACCTTTATTTTATTTATATAGATTTGTCACATATTACTTAATTCATATTTGGCACTAGCGGATCCATGATTTAATTTTGTGAAGGGGCATCAACTCGAAAGCTTTTTTTTTTTTTTGTATATATAACGATAATTAATTTGAAAAAAAAAGAAACTATAACTACCTATATGACGTGTTTAAGTTCTATTAAATGTCATTACACGAACAATAATACTTTAAGAGACAGTTTTTAATATTTTTTTTCCATAAAACATGGTTATATTTTACCATTTGGGAGAGGGAGGAGGGAGAGCTTCATCGCCCTAGATCCGCCTGTGATTGGCTTTCCTTTGCTTCAACGGCTTAATTATTTTTCTTAAATATTTGGAGCTAAAACGTATGAAAACGGTATCAAAATTATCTGCATTTAGTTTAAAACGAATAACGTAGTAATATAATAATAATAGTTTAGTTACAAAAATTTCTGAACTCCATTTTATTTCAAATATATTTTTTTTAGAACTGACATTCATGGTGTCTCCTTTTTTTTTTCAATAAAAAAATTTACTAATAAGGTTTTTAAAGTTATTTATTTTCAAAATCGATTCGCTAAATTTACTATTTTTCATATATTTTGTTTATTTTTATAATATTTCTTCTAGTAAGCTTTCTTCTTATTATAATGTGGTTATCTTATCTTTGCTCCGTTATAATAAAGATCTAAAATTTAGGCCGAAACATTTGCACAAAGAAGAATTTAAACAATTTTTCTTGTACTGCACTGTCTGAAATCTTCAAGCAATTCTACACTACAGTTGTGATAATTGTCTAATTGTTCTTAAAATGTTTTCAATAATTTTCTTGAAAATAGCTTCTTTTTTTTTTCTTGTACATTGCATCTTAAAGAGTGGTATATTAAAAATACTAATTTATTAAAAAAAAACATTTTCGATATAAGTCAAAGTTATCTTTTTTTTTTAATATATCGAAGTCACTTGCATATAATTATATAAATTGAGGAGAATAATAGTTGGGCTGATCAGTCAAATAAGAAGGCAAAAATAAATGATAATATTTATTTTGTCATTTGCCTTGTGGAGGTAGGAAGCATCCCTGAGTTATGAAACGACGACGACTTCGATGACGAATCCGTCTCACCGAGAGACTCTCATTTAGCAAATGACAAAATAAATATTATAATTTATTTTTGCCTTCTTATTTGACTGATCACCACAACTATTATTCTCCTCATTATTCACGACAGTCAACTATTTAACCACAATTATATAAATTCTACTTCTAAACAGTTAAAATTATCTTTTTATTACCATTGAAAAAATAGTTGATGTACTTATTCTCTGAAAAATATGTACAACAATGTCACTGAGTAGTCTTAAAAGGTGTGAAGTTGTACTTAACAGGTTATGCATTTGGGATTTCTGTATGTCAAAAAAGAATAGTTAATTTTTTTTTTACTTTTCCGATTTAGTTTTTCTTAATCAAATGAACTATAGTAAATTCAATTAGCGATTTTTATTATTATTGTTTTTAATTTTAATTTATTTTTTTAACTGGTGTTGTCTATAACTACACAAGCGAATCGTACAAATAAAACTCTACTTTTTTACTTATTTTTCCATATTAAATTACTTTTTAGCCAAATATTTCATCTTGTTTTAGTTTAACAGTTATATCTTACTAAATTTAAATGATAAAATGTTTAATATATTGAAATGATTGGGTTTTAGATGATTTCAATTATATTTTCCCCCATATTGTATATCTTTTATAATAGAGAAAATTCTATTTCATTTAGATGTTAAAAAAGGAAATGTATTAAAGATTCCCTTTATTTGCTTATTGTTGTCATACATCCCAGAAAACTTGTCATGTAGATGTAGCACATTGCGCTGTTAAAGGTCTTGTTGAAATAATGAGCGAAAATTTCCATAATTCCTCGGCTTTGTTGCATCCTACACATCCTCTACTTGCCCTAGATGAAATGATAATTCGAGCTTACACGCATCTGTACATTCCCAGAAATTCTTGATTTCCTCGTCTCATATGTTAGATTCTTTATAGGTTCTATTTATCATGATAATAAACTTTTGTGTATGTTTATATATATATATATATATATATATATATATATACTAGCAAATACTTTTCTTATCTTATTATATTTAATATTGTGGATATATTTTAGTTATTAATTATTATTTGTTAATTTTCAGACCTGAGGAGATGACAGAGTCTGAGCAGGCACCAGCCACTAACGGCCTCCCCGAGGAGGTTGAGGAAGATGAAAAGACCAAAATGAGACCTCCAGATATCGATGCTGTAAGTTTAACTTGTATATCTATAATTCTTATAGATAATTTTTATTCTTAGCTGGTAATTTTTTTTTATCTTCTAATCCACAGGATTTGAGTAAATAATTTAAGGATATCACTCTGTGATATAGTGCGTCCCTATAGGTGATTGACCAATATGAAATCAATTTTATGATAAATGTATTATTTTCTCACTTGCAATAGGAAAGTTCCATAATTAATTTTAAATCCGTATTAAAATTGAAAAGTTTTATTTTTCAGTTAGTCCAAATGATAAAAAAAAATTTATATTTATTGTAAAGGAAGGAGATGGTTTGGGGTGGCGGTCATAAATAGGCTAAATAGTGTTAAAACAATTTTATTGAAAGCCAACGTTTCGACCCGACTTTGCAGGTCTTCTTCATGGAGGTGTGTTCAGCTAGGAGTTTCACTTAGGCAGTTCTAAATGGACCTGCAAAGACGGGTCGAAACGTTGGCTTTCAATAAAATAGTTTTAACACTATTTAGTCTATTTATGACCGCCATCCCGAACCATCTCCTTCCTTTATAATGCAACGATAAACTATTAAATATTCTATATTTATTATAGTATAGTTCGTATAAGGTGAAGCGAAGGGGTGGAGGTATATTCATAATGTTCTTGAGACTGAAAACAAAGTTTACCACTTAACATCAAACCATTTCGATTTACCAGCCATCTACAGTAGTTTATTCATTAAATTAATTAATACTTTAATATCTATTCTGGATAGCTGTGAAATATTATTTAAGCGGTGAAGCTTGTTTTCTATTTCAAGAATTTTATTTATATATTTATTTATTTTTAACGTCTTTCCCATCCCTAGTTTTAAATTACTGATCCTATTTTACAATTTAGGACATGAGGGAGATGGAACGAAGGAAACGAGTAGAGATGATAATGAGCTCGAGGCTGTTCCGCGAGGAGCTCGAGAGGATTATCGAGTCACAAATGAAGGAGGGAGGTGGACCCGCGGGCCTCCTTCAGCAAATTCAGGACATGGTCGGCGGCGCTTCGAGGCTTCAAGCCAATATTTTTAGAGGTAAGAGATAAATTGTAAAGTACTTTTTGAATTACTATAATTGATAATATCATATAACGAAGTTTATTAAAATCCTTCTCACCTTTAGTGCTTTATTTTAAAAAGACTTTGATAGTTAAATAACTTAAAACTAATATGTCTCTGCGAGGACTCCTATTATACAGGGTGTTTCAGGGTCAAAAATGAACTAAGGATTTCAAATCAAGAAAAAAAATTTCCTTTGAAGGTATATCCGCAAACGCTTTGTTTAGGAGCTATTCAAACCTAAAGATTTTCGTTGTTATAAATTATTTACGTCATATGAAATAAATAAAACCTGGAATATTCCACTACAACTGAGAAGGGACATGTCAATGGATTGGCTGTGCAGGACCAGTGACTTGGGCTTCACACTCTCAAGACCTGACACCTTTGGTGGATTTTTTTCTTTGGGGTTACATTAAACAAAATGTCCATGCAAGTCCGGTCAATGACCTTAATCCTTATGAAGGAGGTTAATTGAATCTTGTGAAACAATAACACATATCCAGTGCCGTTCTGCCACTGCTGCTGTTGTAGAAAGATGCCGAGCCTGTATTAGTGCTCAAGGAAATCACTTCGAATAAAATTTAATATGAATTAAATTTACATTTAATCAATAAAGTAGTTAGAACAAATAAATAAGTTTTATTTACTTAATATAACGTAAATATTTCGTAACAATGAAAATCTTTAGGTGTGAATATCTCCTAAAAAAAGCGTTTGCGGACATACCATCAGAGGAAATTTTTTTCTTGTTTTGAGATCCTTAATTCATATTTTTAGTTTGGTCACTTAACCCTGAAACACCCTGTCCTGTACCCTTCTTCCTAATGCATTCGACGTATAAGTGACATCAACCAAATATGTTATCAAAATAGACTATTCAACACTTTACAATTGGTAAAGCTTCATAATTACAACTTAAATAATAATATACTCAATAAGTGACGAGTTTGTCCCACCGTAAAATATCCCTCTAGTTAAATATTTAAGCTATAATACACAGCTCTCCCTGAACTTACACCTTTCCGTTATTGTTCTCACTCAAGATTTATTTGTTTAACAAAGAAGGAGCCTTTGTAGTTTTGTCAGTTACTAAAATGGTATCTTCGATATTATTTTACTTATTAAAAATGTCAGAAAGTTTCTTTCTTTAATATCCGGAGTGCCCAAGACATAGAATTATTTTCCCCCAATATTGTCTGTATGATCATGATAATTTGTTTTGGACTGTATAAGGGCTGGATCACTGAAATTAATGAACATTTGTGAAACAAAAAAAGACGATATTAAAAATAATGAATACAAACTGAAATTTGTGCACTTAATTAATTTTAGAAATAAAGGTTAGTGATAAAACTTGCTAATGAAAGAAAGAAAAAAATACAATTTTGTAGTTATGCATTGTAGGGTTCAAAATGAAACAATTCTTTTTTATTGTATTCATTTATTTATTTTTTGTTCTCCCTTTCCTTGCCTGTTAGACTATACGGAGGTTTTCCCGGGTCAGGGGATAATGGCGGGAGATTAATAACAGACTTAAAAGACCCCCATCGGCACCGAAACGCAAATTCATTATTATTTTAATCAAATTATCTCATATATCAGGTTGCTGGGCAACGGCAGTGATGTGCGCCTGCTCCATCACCCCGCCCCTAAAATGAAATAATTCTGATGTAGAGATGGTTGACCATTGATATGATATGAGAAGGAGTTAGTTGAGGGTGCGGTCAAAGAAATAAAAAAAATTAAAATATATAAATAATTTTAATTTTTGCTGACGATTCGACTCACTTTGCAGGTCCTCTTCAGGGCGTTGGATGTGGCACTGCGGGAGGCAGTTGAAACACTGGTGAGTGTTTGAGTGTTTCAACTGCCTCCCGCAGTGCCACATCCAACGCCCTGAAGACGACCTGCAAAGTGGGTCGAAACGTCGGCAAAAATTAAAATTATTTATATATTTTAATTTTTTTTATTTATTTGACCGCACCCTCAACTAACTCCTTCTCATATCATATCAACTGTCAACCATCTCTACATCATTATGAATGCATTACCACGGGGTCAACATCAAGAAATAATTCTGCTTCAGGTGAAAATCTGAATGTGGACTCACTTAGTGTTTAAAAATTATCTTGATTTTCTTGGCCGACTCTTCTTCCCCATGACAACCATAATTCCTAACAGGCTTCGGTTAAGAATTATGGTTTATCTCAAAAACAGTATTGATATCCGTGTCTTTTCATTGATTTGTACAACTTCACTATTTTTAAGTTATATTAAAATTGCTGAATTAGAATTATTTTATACAATTTAACTGCTTTGAAAGCTGTAAAAATCAGTTTAAATCATTTTCCTTTAAAAATTTACCCGAGGAAGATCTCTTCCCCCATTGTGAGGAGTTATCTCTATCCATGACCCTCCCAGTGCTAGCTCTGAAGATTGAATACTAGATCCGCTACTGCCGCTGACCATATTGTTTCCTTGTTATAACTGTTAATCAAGAAAAAGTTTTGAAATCATCTGTTGTGATGGTACAGATTTTCTTTTTTAAACTCATAATTTTGTAGTTGATTAAAAACTTTTATTATTTTACAGGTTCTAATTGCGTCCTTCCAATTAATGATATTAGAGGTATTGAAGCAATGGGTTACGCAAAAGGCGAAAAGGTTCTTCGGTGTAAGTTAGCTTCAGTCTTCAGGCTCATGGACCTCTACGGTTGGTCCAATGGTATCCACAACCTAATAACTGTGAGTTGATAATAACTTATTTATTATATTAACCAATAGGCCAGTACGCACAGTATGTTATGTTGTTCAGTACTGAAATAATAAGAAAATAATGCAACATATCATAAAATAAATCAATTGTTACTTTAAGGTAACAAAAATTAATTTAAAACTTCTTTAAGTTTTAAAACCAACATGTTAACAAATTTCAAGAAGGTGTATTTTTGCTAATATTTGTCGAATTTCAACAATTTTTTTTCTTTATGTAGAGAATTTAACAATCTTTTATATAATCATGGACATAACCAAAGAAAAAGTGAGTAATTTTTTAATTATTCGCAAATAGAGTTTCTTTTCTTTCATAACTATTTTCCTGAATTTTCTGGGTGATTGGACTATTTAGCCCGCCTCAAGGAGAAAGAAACCTTTAAAATTGGTGACTCAATCTTATGGATTTGATGAAGAATGGCATGTCGATGATATGGCATATCGACAAAAAAAAAACTTTTGATAAACAATATAAATTCCTCCTCTCTCGATCATAGGGATCTCAAGTTGATGAAATGAGACATGTATTCCATGACAGTACTACAATTAATGTAAGGTTGTGTCATTAGGAACTCTTTGCCTTGCATTATCACGAAAATAGTATCTTTGGCTTATGACCAAAAAAAGGATAAATAAAAAGATAATAAAATAATTTTTAATAAATATAATTTTCCACAAGAATTTTTATTTATTGGGCGCCTGGCTTACCAGCCTTTCATCTCTAAAGAGATAAATCTAGAAAACATAAAGTACTTACCCTTTAATGGCCATCATTAAATATTTACTCTACCATGCTAGCTCGGGTGAGAAGGGTTAGGTTGGATATTTTTTATAAAGCAGCAAAAAATATTAACAGAGCTATTGACAAAAAGAAATATTAACAGAATTAATACTATGTACAATAAAAAGAAATAAAATACAAGGAAAAAGAGGGAATCCAAACAAATTACTATATACAATTAAAGATAAAAAGGAAGATATTTAAGATAATAAAGATAACACAAATAACAAAAAAAGATACTTATTCTATATACAATATTATGGCATGCCACATCTAAACATCTATAAAAGATAATCAAGATGCAAGAGATATAAGATGTAAGAGCACATGCACATGATAAAATATCAATTAGTAATCAGGCCCAGGAAACAAAAGAGAGTAGAGTTAGTTTTTTTTCCAGTGCTTTCTTAATCTTGGTTACAGGCTTAAAATCGCAGGGCCTGTCTTTAAAAGATTTACCACTGTTCCAGTATTGAAGACTAACAAAATGTTTATATTGACTTTATTTATTTTAAAAAGAAAAACAAAAGCGGAGAGTACGCTTCGCTAACTCCCCTTGAAATTCTGAATCCAAAAGTATCCCATTCATGATATTTGAGCATGACAGGAGCTTATATTTAATACAAAACCGATTTCGAGTCTTACTGTAATAATATATGTGGAGATAATGTTTCTAAAATACTGTTGTTTTTATTTTTCTGGTGTTTAAGATATATATTATTACCTTATTAGTTTAAAAGTTGTTGCTTCTAATTATTAATTTTTAGATCTATATTTATAAGAAATAATGTAATGTAGGGACGACTGGCACAAGATAATGAAGAATTTATTGTAAACCCGCACGGATTGATGTACCACGAAGTAACTGCCTCATCTTTAGTGAAAGTCGACATGCAAGGGAACGTCGTTGAACAGGGCACAACCAACTTCTCTGTCAATGCCGTTGCGTTCCAGCTGCATGCAGCCCTTCACGCAGCCAGGCCAGACATCAAGTGTGTAATTCACGTCCGCAATCCTCCAGTACTTGCGGTAAGCTTAAATCACTGAAATGGTTTTTTTTTTTGGTTTTTTTTTTACATTTAGTTTCTTTTTTAATTTTTTTTTTTTTTACTTGCAGATCTCATCTTTGAAATGTGGAATTCTTCCAATAAGTGCAGAGAGCGCAGTTATAGGTGAAGTCAGCCAGCACCAGTATCTTGGAAGTGCTGCTGAGCCTGAAGAGAGGGAAAAGATTGCTAGAAGTCTTGGACCGATTAACAAAGTGTGTATTCAATATTTGTAAAATTTATATATATATAATCAGATTTTTTGAGGTATAGAAAAGCATTATTAATAAAATTTTAGTATATTCAATTTTTAAAGGTGTGAATCTATTGAGGCAAATCATCTTGTTGGGGTGGAATTTTTGGTTCACTATCATATATCAGTATTGTTGAAGGAAGTTAGTCGACTGTTCTACGTATCATGGGTGATAAATATTCAAGACACAGTCATTATAAAGTTTTTATTAGTGCTGACGTTTCAATCCAAACATGTGGGTCATTATCAGGGCTGAAAATTTTCAAATACAATCAGAGATATAATATTATACGACCGATAATGGTTGATAATAAACTATAGTGATTGATGAATCTTATAATTAATATTACAAATGAAATATGTAAAAAGTTATACAAACCAAAACTAATGTATGGATGATAAATATTCAGGACGCAGTCTTTTAAAAAAAAATTTTAATTTTTTATTTATGCCAACGTTTCAACCCAAACATGTGGGTCATCTTCAGGGCGTGGTTTGAACACTGAGGGTGTTCAAGTACCCAAACTTTTGTTTTTTGTTCAAGTACTTGAACACCCTCAGTGCTCAAACCACGCCCTGAAGATGACCCACATGTTTGGGTTGAAACGTTGGCATAAATAAAAAATTAAAAATTTTGTTTAAAAAAGACTGTGTCTTGAATATTTATCACCCATGATATGTAGAGCAGTCGACCTAATTCCTTCAAGAATTTAAAAATAATGTATATAATCCATTTATAAAAATTGTAATATTTTCTCTTACTAACCGTGGTTTGAGCACTGAAGGTATTCTAGTACTGGCACATTTGGTAGGTAAGTGAAAAGGTCAGGGGGGAGAATTTCCCAGTTGTCCTTTTTCAGATAGCAAAAGGTAGGTTAACATAGTCAGAGGGGGAAGGGAGAAGATAGGTAATATTTCTAACCATAAGAAAACAATGCAAATCTTGTACACATCTTGAATACTTAGTCAGTAAATTATTTACATTCTACAAACTGATGGGGGCGGGGTGACCGAATTGGCTAAAGCGTGTGCACAGCACAGCGAGTTGCCTGGCGACCGGATAACAAATTTGAGAAGTAAAAAGTACCAGTGCCGAAGGGGATTTTAAATTTTTGAGTTAGTCATTCAATCAACAGATGAAAGCCTCATATATAGATTGTTGAGAATATAATGCATGATTAATAAGTAATATTAAAATTTTTAGTTATAATCCTAATTATTAAATTAAGATTTCTTTAGGTAATGTTTTTAATATTTTTTTTTTTTATTCTTTTTAGGTTCTTTTACTCACCAACCATGGTGCCCTTTGCTGTGGTGAAACAATAGAAGAAGCATTTTTCCACGTGTACAATACTGTTCTCGCCTGCGAAACTCAGGTAAAAAATAATGCGTCAGTTTTATTACCTCTATTATCTGGTGGCATATTTGAAGCTTTTTAACACCATTTTTGTTCATACATTGTTTCAGGTGAAATTAATGCCACTTGGTGTGGATAATTTAATTACCCTTTCTGACGAGGGAAGAAAATCTATCCATGATTCGGCCCGAAAGGCGCCGCCAAATGACAAGAAGTGGAGAGTCGGTGGGTTAGAATTCGAAGCTCTCATGAGAATGCTTGATAATGCAGTAAGTAATACAGAATTTTAAAAAATAAAAACATATACAGCAGAGATACATCACTAAGGTCCCATTTTCCTCTTAGTTTTGTTTATAAAAGAGATAAAAAGTTATTATTGGCTGAGCAAATTTAATAAATAAAAAATCACACTGTAAAATTATCTCGGAGTTGCAGTAACAGTAAGAAATATAAATTAAAAAATATGATGCAGTTTGCGCATACACAAATGTCACTTATCACCTTTTTTTTGTGGGACTTAGTTATTTGGACTCAAGATACCTCAAAACTTGTATTTTTGTTGAAAATTCAGATTCAAAAGTTTTCGCAATCACTATATTTGCCCCTACTACATATTACATATATAGGTAAAATAAAGTAAAAATTTTCTACCAAGTTTTTTAAAGAGTTTCAACTGAAACTCTCTATATAATAGTTTTTTTAATATTTTGATCTTTTTATTACCACCACCCCGGGCCATCTCTTTACTCTATAAAGTAAAAATTATTTTACTTTGTGTTGATGTTTTGGCCTTAGTTTACTTATGTCCTTCATCAAAGTTGAGGAAAGTGAAACATCAACACAAAATATATATATATTTTTTTTCACTTTGACTGAAAATCCTAACAACATTATCTATCAACTATTTCTCCTTCAATTTTATAATCAATTTAATTGCTGAATTTTCTTTTCAAAAATATCTAGCAGAAATTTCTGAAACTTTTGTTCAAGGGTTCACCCTTCCGATGACCCTTAATACAGAGTAAAAGTCTATTTAAATGTATTCCCAAAACTTTTAATTTTTCTAAAAACAAATTTGTTATTTAAAGGGCTTCAGGACTGGATATATCTATCGAAGCCCATTAGTGAAGAATGAGCTGCCCAAGCCTAGGAACGATGTGGAAGTACCGCCTGCGGTTTCGTCCCTCGGTTACCTTCTTGAAGAGGAAGAAATGTACAAGCAAGGGTAAGCAGAACAAAAATTGCGTTTTCTATATTTTAATTTTATTTATTTTTTATGATTTGATTTAAATTAATCGAGTATTTTGTACTTTATATCTTATCGACAGGAATTGGAAAAAGGGAGGAGTCAACCGAAGTGACCGCAACCGGTGGCTGAACTCTCCAAATGTTTATCAAAAGGTCGAGATACTCGAGACGGGAACTCCAGATCCCAAAAAGATAACAAAGGTAGAAGTGTTGACTTTCAACAGCTAAGGAGTAAGGAGTAGGAGTATTCTATCGGCCTCTTAACTGCGCTTCGGACCTCGGACCTAGATAACATTCCTTCATCATCTATTATTATTATTATGATTGATGTTATCATTCTTTCTTTTTTTTTTTTTAATTGATCTTAATAATTTACAAAAAGAAATCGCTAGCTTTTAATTTTTAAAGATGTTATTGGTTTCTGGGTTTCAATTGAAGTGAATGAGATGCTGAAATAGCAACGTAGCCTAGAATGAATTATATATAGACGCTGTTGATGCAAATCGATTTAGAAAAGAGTAAATATATATCAAAATCAAATAATTAGTAATTATTAGAATTTTCTATAGGAAATTGGGTTTATTTGAATTAGACCTTCTAATATAACTTAGCTACTGATCCAGATGGTTTCTGTTTTAATAAAATTTAAAAAAAAAAAATTATATTTTATTGAAATAATTAGTTCTATTTTTTAAGAAAAGAAAAAATAAATATATTTATCGTTGTTGAGATTTATGCACTGACTGTTATAAAAACCAGTTTGATTATATTATATTAGTTTTAATATGTGCCTCTGGATTTAATATTCTAATTCATGGAATACGTTGATCGTAAAGGCCTAATTTTACGGTTATGAAAGTTTTTTCGCAAGGCAAATAATAACTCTTCCATTATATGCATCGACGTAACACATAAATTTTAAATTTATCATGCAATAAACTTAGCTCAAAGCCAATTAATTGTTATCATTAATATTAGTTTTATGATTTTATTTTTAAAAACATTATTTTTTAGGATTAACAGTTCGGGTGTATTTTTATACCTTATCTGTTAATACATTTCATATATTTTACTAAACATCGAAAAATTAGTTAAATGAATTTTATTTTACAGTTGCATCTTTTTCATTATTATGTTCGGTTGTGGACCGATGATTTTCAAAGAATCTGTCAAAGACACAAGAATCTGTCCTTTTCGTGTTAAAACATATTCGTTTTTCATTTGTATTATTTCATTCGTACTGCTGAATTATGCTAATAATTTTCATTGAATAAGAGAGTTTTATTCTATATTATATCTTATATTTTAAATTCTTTATTATTGCTAGGATAAGTTTGCTTCTTTTAAAAAATATATATACATATGTTTTATTAAAGAATATAAATGCTTTATACGCTTTGCTTCATTGGGTTCAAGGGTTAATATTATTTATTCATTATTCTTTATTTCTATTCAATACTTGTGTGAACTATTGTCGTTTCGACTAATGTGTTTTTTATAATCTTATTCTATTTTAACTTTTTGATTTTATCGCTTTTCTCTCTTTTTATATAATACATATTATCTGGGTACTCGTCTAATGTTGCAGCCTTTCTCATAGTCAGGATAACGAAATAATATATTTTACTGTTTGTAAACAATGCAGCTGGTTTGTTTGTTTATTAGCTTTAATTAAGGCAAGTTATGAAAAGGGATAAGCTCATCCTCTAGATCACCAAATTATTCTATCCATTTTATGAAGATGGTAATATATTTTATCCATCAATCTAAAATGTATCTGTAAAATATTTAAATATTTATTGTGACGTACGCAATAACTAAATCAATGCCCAAAGGCACCTATAGGTGCCGCACTGTTACTTGATTATTTTTCATTTTGTTGCTATCTTTCGAAAATATTTAAAAAAAAAAAATCAAAAGCAAACTTCAAGAAAATCGAACATATATCAGAAATGTAATGAGAGAATTGAATGAAGCCTGTGTTTTTGAGAATTTTACTTTTTACATAAGAAAATTAACCAAAAATGAAATACCTGTGAATATGTCAATAGCTTTGTGGAATAAAAATATGGCCATATCTTTTCTTTTTGGAAAAGAAATTTTTTTTTTCTATAATCCTCTCATTTAATGTTTTTATTTCTTATATATTGAGGAAGCGGGGTAGCTTAGTGGTAGGGCACTAAGCTTCCAATGCTCAAGGTTCCACGTTCAAATCCCGACTCATCGCAGAAAAATTATTTATTCGGTTTCATCAGCCGCGGGACACACCCAACCTCTACAAAGTGGGTACCCTTAATTAAATAATTGATTAAGGGGAAAAACTTGGCGGTCGAGTGTGATTCTAGCAGTACTTTCCCTAAATAGTACTGAACCCAAGACCCGACCCTTCATGGGTTGTAGTGGTACAGGTTTTTTTTTTTTTTCTATTATATTTTATTATTATTATTTTTTATAATGCATATAGACATAAACAAAGGCATTGATAACCAAATGCAAACTTGAAATTATGGCGCAAAAAAAAAAAAGCCTCCTTGATTATATAGATAAATAAGAAAGAATAAGGAACAAAAGCACAAGGAAATCAGTTTTGCCTTCATCGAGGCAGCAATATTAGACGAGTAGCATTTCCTGTCTCATGATTTTACATTAATTATATTGTTATTAAACAATACTTTTACAGCTGTAATTAAACTCTATTCTCTAATGCTCAAGTTTAATTTATTAATATATTATTAATTATTAATTAAAATAAAATTATTTTCATTATATAGATATGTGTGTTCTGTTTGTTTCTGTTACTATATGCACTGGTATATTTGTGAATATATTATTAAATTTATGAATTATGTAACTATTATTCTCTAGTCTATGCTATTAATATTTCCAAATTTTATTTATTCATTTATATATTAATAATAATAATAATAGAAAGTATCCTATAGCTGTTCGATTCGTAAAGCTCCATAATGTAAGTTTAACGATGTGTAGATTATCCTTTCTTTTCAAATTAACATCTCCTTAGAATGAGCATAGAAATTGGTGCAATATCCATTCCATTATTCTTATTACATTCCAGTGTCAATTTGTTGGTGTTAGTTGTAAGGAATTGAAAGAAATGGTTTATCAATTATTGAATAATAAATGATATGAGTATTATAAGGATTTTATTATAGTTATATTCGAAATGCATGCTACGTTCAAGTGCTAAGCATGCTTATATTAGCCATAAATCCTGTAATTTTTTTTTTCTTATATGTGTGAGCAATAAAATATATGACGATTATATTTTGGTTCGTTGATTTATTTTTAACATGGCCAAGTTTTTTCGTTTGATTTCAAAAAGCACTGAAATAGAATATCATGTTGGATATTCCTCCAGTTGATAGATCCTTTTTTATTTTATTTTATTATTATTATTTTAGATTCCTAATAGATTTTGTATCCAAAAATTTTAATCTTGATATCGAACACTGTGTTTGTTTATTTATTTATTGTTTGCATGTCTATGATTTCTGTTAGACCTGTTCCGTAATTTATTTTTTCTTTAATTTATGGATATGCCAGTGTAATATTGCATGAAAATATTTTGTGTTTGTTTTTATAATTAAAAAAAAAAATGTTTTTAGTAAGTTTATAGTTCATTAAGGATTATATAAATTTCTTATTTATAAACTATATATTACGTTAATGATTTTTCTGTAATAATCTCACTCGCTCAATAAACCACAGAGCCTGGAGATCTAGAGTTCCTTTAATAAATTTCCTACGCATTTGTTAATAAACAATAATCAGGTGTTAATTAAAAACAAAACAAATTAATAGTCATTATCTACAGAAACTAATTGTTTTGATCTGGTGAAAAAATTATGAAAGTGATTTTTATCCAAAGACCAATTTTAGTGTCAATTTTGTGAGGAACTTGGTTAGTCAACATTCTGCAAACAATCGAGTTTTGTGGAAGGTTGATGGAGTTTGTGAAGTGGGCTTTCAAATTGAAGTGTTCAGCTATATATCAACCTAAATTTAATCAACTATTTTATTTATATAGTTTCTCATATTTTAATTTATATAGGACCAGTAGACCCGTGCGAAAAATTCGCACAGCATATTGTTATCATATGCCAAATTAATAAGAAAATAAAAAAATGCAACTTATCAAAAGATTAAGACATCAAATGTTACTTTATCGATAAATATAATCCACAAAGCAAACAAAAATTTATTTAAATCTTCATTTTTGTTTGGAACCAACATGTTTACAAATTTCAGTAAGCTGCATCTTTGCTAAAAATTGTCCGATTTTGATGATTTTTTTTTTTATTTTGTGGGGAATTTAGTAATCTTTTATATAATCATGGGCATAACCAAGGGAAAAGTGTTTAATTTTTCAGTTATTTTCAAATAAAGTTTGTTTTCTTTCATAACTTGTTTGCCTGAATTTTCGGGGTGATTGGACTATTTTGCCCAGCCTCGAAGCCCTCGAAATTGGTGGCTCAATCTTGAGATTTGGTTGAAAAATCAACGATGATATGGCTTGCCGATCAAAAATACCTTTGATAAATAATATAAACTCCTCTTCTCTCGATCATAGAGACCTCAAGTCGATGAAATGAGATATGTATTCAATGAAAGTACTACAATTAATATAAGGTTGTGTGGATGCGAACCCTATGCCTTGCGTTATCTCGAAAATAGTACGTTTTGGAGCTTCAAAACTCAGAATCCGATAGTTCCGGAGCAACTATCCTCAAGATCCAATTTGTTCCGTATCGATCTAGAGACCTGCCACCGTTCCAGTATCGAAGCCTAGCAAAATGTTTGCATCGACTTTATTTATTTTAGAAAGAAAAACAAAGGTGGAGAATGTGATTCGCTAACACCCCGTGAAATTCTGAATCCAACGGTACCCCATTCATGGTATTTGAGCATGACAGGAGCTTATGTTTGGTACAAAACCGATTTCGAGCCTTACTGTAATAATATATGTAGGGATGATCCAATTTTAGATTCCTAACTTCAGTTTAAAATTTAATCATGCCAAATATAATATCTTAGTTATGTTTTTATTAGTCAAATATTTAATATATTTCATTAAATATTAAAAATGATGTCAGCCAAACGGCTGAAATAAACTCTGGTTTCTCTATTGGCTATTACGTGAAGTTTGTCATTTTTGTTTCTTTTTTTATTATTTTTTTTTTTTTAATGAAATCACTACAGTTCAAAATTTACAAATTTTTCTTTTACTAAAAAAAAATTATTTTTCTTAATGTTCTTGAACTTACTAAACACTTCATAACTTTATTTTTTAGTGTGTATAAAAGCAGTAGTCTGTTATTGAGTATCTTTGATAAAATATTGTTTTACAGTAGAGTATTGGTTATCCAGGCTAATCAATGCATATTACAATGTCTAATCGGGATATTGTAATAGTTGCGATAGTTGATATTATTAGTAGGGTAGTAGTGAAGTTGCCACTAGAACAAAAAATATGTAAGGATAGAAATAATGTGTTGTTATTGAATTTTTAACTTTTTTTTTGGACATGTTTATATAGTTTTCATGAAAAGTTATACAAACTCCTGTATATCATATCCAACAGACTAATAATTGAAACAAGTGAGCAGAATAAAATATAATCAGAAACAATTACCCATTCATCTAAATTCGATCTTATGGTCGGCATCTTAACTGTAAACAGCAAATTAAAAAATAGTTTTTAGTCGTACCATTAATTAAAAAATAAATTACAATTTATTTCTGTAGAATATATGTAGTTTATTATGAAATTTATTGTAATAATTAAAAATTTAAATTAGCGTTGAATAATCCATAAACCTATCCTTTTTTTTAACTAACTTTCAAACCAATACCTTTATTATTTAAAATATTAAATGATAAATAAAAAGTAAACAAAATAGAGGTCTGAATAATCGGCGCTCTACTGTGTATTTTTAGTATTTTGTTTTGCTTTTTTTATTATTTTGTAAAATTAATACACCACTCGGTTAAAATTTTCTGTCAGAATATGTTGTTTTTTTTTATTTAATTAATTTATCGAGAAAAAGTGGTGTATAAATTTTTTTTCTTGCTTCTTTTTTTTTTTTTTTTAATATGTAATGGTGTGTTTTCTCAATGTTTTAGTGGGTGGACGCTAATAGCGCTGATGAGGTAATTTTGAAACATTCAAAGATTAATTTAAATTAGGTTTATCAATTGCTGTACCGTTTACGGTGATGGCAATGCATGTAGTTCCTATGAATCTTTCTCAATAATCTCCACTTCATTTCATTTTCAGTCTTGTTCATATCATTCACAGAAAATCTACTATCTTCATCGCAAAATTTGAAATAACTTTACAATTTATTTTTTATTTTAAAAAGAAAAAAGCATGATTTTAAAATTATTTGTGAATAACATTTTAAAATTTAAAAGAAAGATTTTAATAGATAATTTTTAAATTAAGCATGATATTAAAATTAATTTAATTACGTTTAAATACTTAGACTGTGCAATAATACTGAAAGTAATAAAAAAAAAAAAAACCTTTTTTTTTTCAGTCTCATACATTTATGTTTAGGAGCTTTCGGTGCTCTGTGACATATTCATCTAAAAAATATTTTTAAATATTTTAGATATTTTATACATATATACAACAATCATACATCATATATGTATATGAATACATATTCTAATTTAATGTGTATTTAAAAATATTTTTTAGATGAATTTGGTGCAGAGCACCAAAAGCTCCTTAACATAAATATATGAGACTGTAAAAAGAAGGGTGTTTTTTCTTACTTTCATTAATTTAATTATTTCATTAAATTTCTATTTAATCAAAATAGTTTATAATTCTAGAAAACAAAATTTATTTAATTTCAACTTATTGATGCCTAGTGTAGTTTATACTTTGTATTTACTTTATTATTAGCGGATTTTGTTTTAATTTTTTTTTTTCTTCTATTGCACTGCCTGTTTTCTGAGCACTTATCATGGGTAGTAAGGGTTCATATCAGTAACCATAGATATAATTTATTTAATAGATCATTAAATTTTTGGAATATCCAAGTTGTATTGAAAATGAAAAAACTTGTGCCTGTTTTCACCCAATCCCCGACATTTGTTATTAGCAGGCAAAACCATACCCGATGGGACCTCCACGGCAGTATATTCACAATTTGTAATTACATATTTTTTTTTAAATATGGTTTCAAATATAATTATTGCTCATTTGACCTTAAAGGTCATTAATATGAGTTACGAAGCCCCAGAGTGTGGTGGATTGGGTGTTAAAACAAGGTACGAGTTTGGCTTACGTTTCCCCTGGTCCCTGAGGTGTGGTTTTGTCTGTAGTGGGTCACAGACGGTTCTCCAGGACACACCAGTACGCCCGTCAAGATAGACTCGGCGCTTCAGTTCGTACCCAAGAACACCAATCCCAAGGAATTCAAAAAGCTGCAACAACAGGTATGTTATTAAAATTAAAATAAAATATTTTAATTTGTAGATTATGTTTCTAAATCTGTATACCAGAAGTAATCGAAGACACTAGACCAATAACTTTCAATTGAATAAGTTGAGTCCCTAAAACTGTAAAAACCAAGTAACCCATCAAGGTTTGACCAATGAAGGTATCAATATGACAGAAAACGACATAAATCACATATTTTAAGATATCCCAACATTTTTATTTCTGCTTGTATACATTTGTTCATTGTATATATGATAACCTAAACTGTTATGTGTACTTACTACACAGTTTGGTACTTTCTGAATTTTTGGCAGATAAAATTCTAAATCCATTGTTACTTTTTTCGAAGAGCTTGAAGGAGGAGAAGACTTTAGAAGACCAAGTATCATTAAAATCGCCTTTAGAAAAACAAAATGGTAGATCGTAATGGAAGTGTATTTAAAAACACTCCTGAATTCATTGCTCTATTTGTTTCAAAATTTCAAAGCAATCAACGAAGAACTTTTGATATTTGTATTGGCAGCATGGGTGTAATATTTTTAGTAATTTTTTTTTTTCTCTTGCCATTACATAACATGTAGATCTTTTGCTACTTTAATAAGCCTGCTCCATCTCTGTAGTCCAATTTTCCGAGGCTTCGTTTAGGTTTCATAATAAGGTGTTTTTTTCCGGGATAGGGTTATTAGCCCTATGCCCGAACCCCAGACCCTGAAGGACCAGGACTATGTTATAAGACACAGGAGTCTCTTACCTCCCAGTGAATCTCTGGGTGAGGACGTTATCGTCCCCATGCGGGAATCTAACCCGTGCGGTACTGGTCGAAGTAATCTGGTAGCGCTTGCAATTTTATTTTTTTTTTATTTTTCATTTATCATTAATTATTATCTTTTTTTTGTTCCCACGGACGGGATTTGAACTCATTTTAAGTAAATTATGAAAAAAATGTTGAAAGAATTTATTCTTGGAGATGTGTCTAATTAATTTTTATTTTGTGTTGATCATAATTATTTTCAACATAAATAATAAATATTATATATTTACTTTTGATAAACTTTCAATAGATCAAAGAAAACAGGAGAGCTGACAAGATCACGTCTGGTCCACAATCCCATATCCTTGAGGGAGTAACTTGGGAAGAGGCCAAAAAACTACAGGTCAGTATTATTTTTTTCGTTATCACATGCTATTATTGGTTCAAATATTGCTGATCAAATATAACAATTAATTATTATCCTTCTGATTCGCAGGATGCCAATATTTCAATGACAGGGGACCAAGTAATTCTTGTCGGAGCTGCCTCCAAGGGTATAATCCAACGTGGCTTCCAGCACAACGCTACGGTATACAAGAGCCCTTATGCCAAGAACCCGTTCGACTCTGTCTCAGAGCAAGAACTGGAAGAGTACAAAAATGTCGTTACCCGAAAACAAAAGGGAGATTATTGTAAGTTTATTCATTTTAAGAAAAATCTGTTTAATATGTCAGTCTTAATAATAAGTTTATTTAAATGAATTTACTATTTACGAAATGTACATAGAAATCGTCATGTTTTAGTACAATATTTCACACTAAAGGTAATCTTAAAATTATAAACTTTAGTAACATTCTTTGTTATTTGACAGTAGAAAAAAATGTATTTTTTTATTTTTATTATTATTTATATGATATTTACAACTGTACAAAAAAAAAAATACATCTAGTAAATTCGTGCATGGATATAATGACATGAAAAACATGTTAAGAAACTACCCATTGGTAGAACTCCAATACTATGTCTATATTAGGAGATCACGTGGCCATCTTCTTTTCAGTTGCCTCTGAAGGTTATCAGAAATTGAATAAGAAGCAAGATTTGAAACAACATAGTTGGGATGGTTATGAAGTTTATTATGGAAGGATAAATATCTTTATTGGGCCAAATCTGATACATACGCAACATTAAGGTCATTGTGGATGATTTTATTTGTAACAAAGTAAGGAGCATTGAGGATTTTACGAAGGATTTTGGTTGTCAAGATTGGATACGAGAGGAATTTGAAGGTTTGGTGGAGCCCCTTAGCTCAACTCCGAGAAAAAAATATTTAAAAAAGTAATAATAATGTAAATCAAATTAGTATATAAATAAAGTCAACAATAATAATAAAATAAAATATATATTTAAATAAAAAATATAATTTATGTTACTTGTGTTAAGTAATGTAATCCTTCGTCGTAAACCAACGACTGCCTGTCCTACAGTTTCCTTTAACAAGACTCCACTTATCCCTGTTGAGCAAATTAGATACCTAGGACTCCACCTGGACAAGCAACTAACTTGGAATCCTCACTAGACTGAAACGACAAGAAACCGCTCGACGTTTCCGATTACTTCAGCACTTACTAGACAAACGCTCTAAACTTTCCATTAATTACAAAAGACTCATATAATTGACTATAATAAGACCTATTTGGACCTACGGAGTTGAGCTATGGGGCTCCACTAAATCTTTAAATTCCTCTCGTATCCAATCCTTACAATCCAAAATCCTTCGTAAAATCCTCAATGCTGCTTACTTTGTTATAAATAAAATCATCCACAATGACCCTAATATGCGTTATGTATCAGATTTGGCCCGATCCAGATACCTATCCTTCCATAATAAACTTCAGAATCATCCCAGCCCTCTAATTTCTAACCTTTCTTTCTCTTCAATTCCTGATAATCCTCCGAGGCGTCTGAAAAGAAGTTGGCCCCGTGTTCTCCTAATGTAGTCATATCATTAGAGTGCTACCATTGGGTAGTTACTCAGCAAGTGTATTTATGTAATACAGTTGTAAATGTCATTAAGAAATAAAAAAAAAGTAATGTAATATTTTGGTCAGATTGTATTTAAGTAAAATATGTTTCGTACGTCTGTGTTTCTATCTTCTTAAACTTTGCTTATTGTAATGGTCTATTATCTTAATTAAGGGGTTACTGAGATGTTTCTTAAATTCAAAATTTCTGGGGTTATATGAATTGTTTAACTGTCTGAAATTCCAAATCGAATAACCTGTTGGTTATTCTTGTGTATCTGGGATAATCCTTTATGATTCTCATACACAGATTTTGTACTCTTTCTATTTTTTTGTAGTTTGAGTCACATGTGTAGCTTCGTAATGTGTCAGACTTAATTACAAACTTTTTTTGATGCGGCACCCTTGTAGGACTACAAAAGGTTTGTAGCTATTTGTCAGACTTAAACAACTGTGCCGCAGTTATCCTTAAAGTGTTGATATAATAGAATCTTGTATCAATTTACCATAGCAATATATATAAACCAAATAAAATTTTCTCCAGATTTATAATCTTATGTTTTATTGATTTTAATTCTGTTATTAATAAATATATTTTAAGAATATCTATTCATTAAATTGATAATTTTGACCTTCAATATTAACATTAAATGTTATTATTGCGGCACCCTTGACATATGCTTGAGCCACTTTGCGCCCAGTTTGAGAATTCCTGATTTACTGTGTTATATCGAATATAGATTGCTCTCGGATTTAAGGTGCGAGCGCTGTTGATAATTTGAAAATGAAAAGAAGGAATTTTTTATTTTTATTTAAGGGATGTAAAGATAAAAATAAATAAAAGCTCAAAAAGTATAAAATAGATCCATCTTTTTTAATCAAGGAGGAGATTAGCTCGGTGAGTAAGGCACTGTGCTCCTATATTTGTGTATAAAAAATTATTATTTTTTTCTGTTCCATCAGCTGTGTATTGACCTTATGGTCAGGAGATCTTGTGGCACACTCAGCCTCTGAAAGTGTGTTCCCTTGATTAATTAATATCGAAATTTACCTTTTACTATTTTAAAATTTTAATTAAAAAATAAATTGCTTCTTAAATTCTTTGCAATACAATAATTTATTTTGTACTACTAGAAGGTAAGGTATTTTCCATCTACCAGCAGCATTTTAAAATGTTCTTGGACCTAAATTATATGACTTAAATTAAAAGATTTAAAAATAAAAATTGATTTTAAATTGATTTTAATATCTCACCTATTCAGTGTTCCTTGTGCCACATATCAGTGTCTCTACCAATAGGATATATCTGAGGGAATTGTGAAATGTGAATTTTATGAATTGCTTTAAAATATTGTTAATTGAAAATTAATTTAAATTTTATATTTTAATTATTAATTAATTAATTGTTATATTTCTATTTAGATGAAGATACAGAGCAAAGTGAGAGCGAAGCACTCTCTTCATCTGCTGCTCTATCTTCCGCCGCACTCATCAAATCTGAGCAAGAAGAACCATCAGGTATGTATTTTAGCTTTTTTTCTCTTTCCGTGTCTCCGAAGAGGCATATAAACATAAAATAACTTACTTCAGTTTTGTTTACTCACCAGTAGATTTTTTTATGCAATAAAATTAATGCTGAGAAATTTTCCCCCTATATAGTATAGTGAGGACCGGACGATCGAGCACTTTGGGGTGTGGATCCCAGGGTGTTCAGTTTTTAACATTGTAAGTTCAATTCCTACCTGGGTTCAGTTGCTTTTCATTTCTCGGTGGCCGAAGGAAATGGATTTTGACATTCTTCTTCTTTGTCTTCTCCCTTAAGCGTGGAGAGGCCTCGTCCCATTTACGCCAGCCATCTTGGTCTCTCGCCAGGTTCCTCATATAACCCAACTGCTCACCTCATCTCTTTCCGAGTTTGGTTATTTCGTCAATCCAAGTTTTTCTTGGACCTCCTCTTGGCCTCTTTTCTGTGGGTCTTGCCTCATGAAATTTTCTGAATTCCCTGTTATCCATTCTCATGACCTTAACATTTTCTCTAATCTAATCGTTTTGGATGCCAGCTACTCTTCTCAGATATTTCATTTCGGCAGCGGCAAGTCTTACTTTTATGGCTATCTAGAAGGACCCAGCTCTCACCACAGTAGGGATGGAAGGTAGAGTGTGTTGTATATATTGATCTTTCTCTTTTTCCTAGGACTTTGTTGCTTTTTTGATCCTATTTGATATCTCTTGGTCTATTTTTCCATTTCTTCCAACAACTGTCGCTAGGTTTTATATTCCTCTGCCAACTTCAGATTCTTACCCTTACAGTTTATTTGTACATCTTCGATTTCTCGAACTATCTGCATAATCTTACTTTTTTTCTTCATTTATGATCATACCTTTTCTCTCAAGCTCAGCTTTCCTTTCCACAATCGCTTGCTGTAATTTTGCAGCTGAGTCTGTTATGAGGACAATATCATCTGCTTAAACGGGAGCTTGGACTGTAATTGTTCCAATATTCCATTTTCCTATAATTGTTCTTCCAGTCCTACGTTTACAGATTTTCAGAATCTCATCCATGAACACAATATATTGTAGGAAGCTGAGACTGTCATCTTGTTTGACCCCTTTCTCCATATTAATTAATTGTAACATTCCCACTCTGGTATGTACGTGGCGGCGACCTCGAGGTAGTAAAACCCAGTTTTCTAAAATAAAAAATCTTAATCAAGGTTTAAAAAAAAAAAAAAAATGCTTCCTCTAAATAAATTTAGTTATAAATTATACTTTTTATTATTTGTCTCTCCAGACATATGTCAGGGAAAACTATCATTAAATAGGGAAATGTCAGGTAATTCTACTTTAATTGTCTGGAAGCCACCCTGGTAATGGAATCAATTATATGATAGTTTGCTGTAGGTTATTTGATGACCTCTCGTCTTCCTGCCCACACAGTTGATTGGCTATTTATTTGGTTCATTCTTATTGATTTATCAAATTATTATTTTTTCAGAACCGAGAGTGTTGCGAATTGAAACGAAAACAGCTCCTGCACCAAGCCAGGCAGAAGTTGTTTTGAGCGATGGTAAGCAATTGCCAAACTTCACTAGCTTTGTTTCTTTTTATTTTCAATTATCACTTTAAACTTGATATTTTTGAAAAGAAAAAAAAATTAATAAATAGAAAAAATGTTTAAAAAAACAAAACAAAAACACTTAGAAGTGTATGTTGAGGAATTCTATTCAAATCTATTTCACTTTTATAAGTTAATGTCCATCATTTTACCCGCTAGCTGGAGGGAAACAGTAAGTATGAACCGACCGCATGACAGTATTTTATTTCTTCTCTCTTCTTTCTTTCTTTTTTTTATTTTATTATTTTCTATTTTATTCTCTTAACTTTGATCTATTGATTAGAAATGTCTGTTTAGTATTAAGGACTTCATGAGCATGTTATTTTTCTATGTTAGATGATTTTCCTGACCCGCATGTTGAACGTTCCAAATCACATAGGTATCCACCAGTACAAGGTAAGGATTTAATTGACTTATGTCGTTTTCTATTAAATGCACATTTTTAATTTAATTTTTTTTTTTTCTATTAAATGTAGACAAACTTCTACTTTGTAATTTGTTCTTTTATGAAACATATTTTGTTGATTGTTTAATTTATTAGTTTAATTATTTTGTTAGTCACTTACTTATCTTCTTTTTTTCTTTTTCCGGCATGATTAATAAAGACTCTTATTACTGTCAGTGAAAGCAATGGTTTGATTATATTTATCAATATTTTTTATTGTCATTTATGATAATAATTTTTTTTTCTTTAACATTTACAGCATTTCATAAAGCTTAAAATAATTTTGACATTTCAATGTGTTTACTTTAATTTTGCATTCTTTTACAGTTCAATCAAAATACTGGTTACAACAAATTAATAAACTTTTTTTTCTCAACAGAAAAAATTTCTGTTTTCAACTACCCGTCTACTCCCTAACTAATATCTCCCAAATTTTTTTTGTTCAGTGTTATTCATGTTAAAGTGTTATTCATTATCACTTTTAACATTGTTTTCTAAAGAAAATTATTCATAAGTGAAAAAATATCCATGTTAAAATCTAATGAAATGCTTTTTAAACTATAATTTAATATTGTTTTTTTGTATTTTATTTATACTGTAAATTAATTGAACCTAAGCTTTTGCTGTCATGTATCATCAAACTCTTCTTTTTTTTTCTCTCTTGCATCTTGTAATGTGAGTGAATCCAGTTCCAGATGTTAAAAGAAGTTCTTCCGCAGATCGTGCTATTGTTAAAGGTATACAAGCACAAAATTTTACTTTATATTTTAAGGCAGTTGTTTGTTTTAACATAATTGGGAGCATGTTTTGTGGGTGTTTGTTTTGCTGCATGTATTCCTAACCGATTTTGCACTCCAGATGTTGGTGTTGGGCAAGTTGTCAAGTGCCGCCTAGTCGATGCCTCCACTTTGACTGGCAACAGCGTTCAGTACCAGAGCGTCGGAACGCAAACCAAAATGAGGATTTATATCGACGAAGACGAGGATGAAAAAGAGATGAGATCTTCTGTGATACCTGATATCATTAAAACCGGGATACCGCCAGGAAGGAAAGAACTGATGTCTAACGTTATCAAAGAGCTATCGATGCGGTTCGAGAAAAAAGTTGAAGAAGAAACTATAAGCCTTTTGCCTGAAAGGAGGTCGCTCATCATCAATGGTTCTCCAACTGGCTTCTCTTCGACCGATGACACAACTGCTTCCATTGATTTGTCTTATGACGACATGAGTGACGTTAAGAAGAGCATAACAAGTCTTGAAGAACATATCGGGCATGACTTTGAAGGAGCGATAGAATCCGACAGCTTGATAAGTGACATGGAAACGTTACCAGCTAAACTCTTTTATCCTGACTTGACCGCATCTTTGTGTATTAACCTCTGTGATTCTTATAACCATGATCTTAACACTTCGTGTGAGTCTCTCTATGCTGAGCAGGACAATATGTCTATTAGGACTTATGTAAGTTCTCCTGATATATCATTAATTGGTTTTGATGATATGATCGCATTCGCTTCTCATTCGACTTCATGTGAAGACATAACTGAAGATACAGTCATTTCATGCAAGAAAGAATTTGAATCGGAAGAAATGGACGATTCTCAGAAGCAGGAGAAGAAGTGTCATGAAATTTATGATAAAGAGCCAAATGTAATAGAAGATATGGCATTACCTTATGAAAACTCGAATGATATTGAAGAGATCAAGGCAATTAAAAACTCTGAAAATAATTTGTTAGCCAAAGATAATAATAATAACCCCAAAAGTGAAAATTTAGAAAATGTGTTATCGCCCATTTCAGATATTTCTCTATCAGCTTACTGCTACGACAGCAGTGGAAGCCTCAAGGAGGATAAGCGCTGCTATGAAGAGAAGAAGGACCTTCTGTATTCCGATCTAGAAACCTGTTCTGAAAAGGGTTACGAGGGCGATTCCGACCAAACGGTTTATGAGACTCTAGTTCTTTCCAAATACACGCTCGACTTCAGTCCCGCATCGATGAACGGATACGACGCCGATTGTGAGGAAATGATAACCTCCTTCAAGCAGCCTCCAAATACTTTGTACACTATTTTTGAAGAAACTATTGCAGAAATATAAAATATGTTTTTGTGTGAAGATTTTTTTTTTTTTTAATTTAGTAATAATTTGAAACTTGTTTGTATCCTTGAATTTTACATTTCTATTATTAATTCTTTTAGATTTTTTTAATGCAGATATTTTACACTGCCTTATGAATATTAAATTTTTACTTTTTTAAATAATAGAACGTTTATTAGGATGATAATTTCTTTTTAATTTGTATGTTTAGATTCGTATTTATATGTATTATTAGTATGTACACAATCGTTTAAATAACGCATTCATTTCTGTAGTTTGATTTAGACAGTATTATTAGATGAAAACAACTGATAATGTAAATAATTTAAACCAGTTTCTATTAGTTGCTTAGATATAATGTAATTCAACTACAACATAATTAGAAATTTGTAATTACCTTAAATTTTCAGATATTTGTACTTTGATATTTTAAGAAATGTTTTTCTTTTTTAATTTTATACTAATTGTGATTGTTAATAAGTTCCTGTATTACTTTATTTTTCTATATTTTCTTTTTTATTAAATGTTTGTTTTGTCTGTACTTTTTCTGTCCTATTTTTAAATTGTTTTTCTATTCTGTTTTTTTATGTTTGATTTTTCTCACTTTAACAAAGAAACAAAAAACTTAACATTTCTACTAATATGGATATGCTTTGCAGTCTTTCCTATTTTTTTTTTTTTTACTCTTCACGTTTTGAGCTTAAGCTGTTCTCATCTTGGTAGCTTTCCGCTTTAACGAGAAAATATTGGAGTTTTCTTTTAACATAGTTTAAGACACCACTTTAAGGTAACAATTTTTTTTTTTTATTATTTATTTTTCTGGTTGTATTATATGAAATGTCAATTTGTCAGGGTATAATGAATACATAATTTATATTTATTCTATTAATTAATCAAAGTATACTCCTTAGATATAATTTTTATTTTTTTTTTTTTTTTTACAATTTTATTCACTGAACAATTATTTTTATATTCCCTTGTCATTCAGAAAACTTTTTGTGTTTCTTGGTAGCTTTTAGACTCGTTTCCACAGGGACAATTTCTTTCGTGGTAGTCTAGACCATCAGAAAACAATAATGTCCTTCTCTACACGTTGGTAGTAAAATTAATGACGGTTGGGAAAATGATTAATTTAGAGCAGCTGATTATGTTAACAAAGAGAAATCAATTTATATTATTAAAAAAGATCTATTAATGTAATTTCAGTAATTAATGAAATATTAAATAAATAAATCTAATTAACAAATTAAAGTGATTAATTGAAAATATATATAACTGCAACTTGTGAAAGATTTTGCGTTCCAGTACTTTAGTAGGAAGGTAATATGTACGGTATTGTCTCTTGATCAATGGTTGTACAAGGACGTGATTTTACTGAGATCAATCTAAACTTCTAAGTTTTTTTCCCTTAATTAATCAATTAAATTGAGAGTACCCTCGTTTAGAAAATGAATGTCCCACAGGAGTATTCCGACTACATGGTTGATGTAACGGAATTAATAATCATCTGCCACAACTTGACTCTAACCCTGGCCCTTAAGAATAGGAGAACAGTGCATTACTCACTAAACTGCCCTGCTACTATAAAAAAAAAATTATAATTATGCAAAAGAGAGAAAAAAAATTATTTATGTATAGTTTTTTCCTTCTCAAAGAATTAAATAATGTAGAAATGTTGGAAAGAATCCATTTTATGTTCAGAAATCAGAATCCGCTTTTTCGAACACTAACTCTCCAACAGGACGGCCATATAGGTGGCAAACACTTACAAAATGTCTGAAACTTGACTAGACCAAGGACTACTGATTAACTGGACTGACACAAGACAACTAGTGTTGTCCCATCGACAGACGATTCAGTAATTATCAAAAATTTGAACCTCATAACTCCCTTACAATGCATACCATACATACAGTACAAGATTCCATCCCACAAAGTTAAAAATTCAATAACTTATCTTTGTGATTCAATAATTTAAACACATTATATAAAAACAATGTTTTCCTATAAAATTACATTTAAATTTGATTTGCTTAAATAATTTGCGACGATTCACTGATAGAGGTCCACATATGGTTTCTGTTTTAATACATGACATAACCTGGTAATGCGGCAGTACTACTAAGACAGAGAATGTCATATTGCCGTACAATCTTTGAAAATTTTGTATTGTCGATCTTAAAATGAAAAATCATCGTATATTTTTATGATAATCAGCTCTTGCTTCCAATTAAAAATTTAAGTTCTCTTCTAATTATTAATTTATAATTCTTTAGCTTATAATTTTGTTAATATCCTAAAAAATTGACATTTCATGTTATACTGTCAGGTGTCATAGGTGTGAGTAAATGTAATGTTCTTAAATGTGTGAAGCTTTTGTTGTTGAGTTTCGGGTACTGTATAGCTTTTTTCCTGTGTTAGTCATATATTGTGTCAGCAATTTTGAATTAATTAATTATTATTAAAATGTTTGATATTCTTTATGTTAACGTTTAATATTATTAACTTTTATTTTCAGATAAATAAAATACATTTTTCAAGTTAATACTAATAATTACACCACTTGTTAAACTTAAACTTTCTTTAATATTTCAAAATATTATAGCAATGTTTTTATCACTAGATACCTAGTCCTGTCATAAATATTTTTACAAAGAAATATTTACAGATTTCCACTGAAAAATTATTTTTTTAGCCTGTTATGAAATTAGCCCGTTTAAATGAACAAACATTTCATCTTTATACTAGATGTTGTTATTAAATAGCAGGACTCGTGCTTTAAACATTTTATTTTGATTTCGTACATATTTACTTATTGTCACCTTTAATATTCACCCCCCTTCTATTTCTACAGCTCTCCATGCGAATCTTTCATTCTCTGAAACAGTATAGGAAGTCAGCTTTCCCTTTCACTGCTTAAATGGACCTAAATATTGTTCCTTTTAATGCAGTCACAACGAATCGTCATTTTTTACTCATGATTCTGAAACGATGGGCCAACCCATGTCCTTGAAGAGTCCAACTTTACCAAGAGCAAAAGAAGCTCGACTGAGCTAACCAAAATTTAAAGCTATGATGATTTTTTTTTTTTTTTTTTTTTTTTTTTAAATATTCATGGGGTTCCTGATCAAATTATTTACCAACAACACTATATTCACGTTCTTGCTGAGTGAGAAAGCGTCACACTACTTGAAGGAGCTGACAGAAGAAGACTTTCTGCGCTATTTCAGAGAATGAATGATTCATTTGGAGCGTTGTAAGGATAAAGGAGAGGTGTATATTGAATAAGATATTAAGTAAATATGTATGTAATCAAAATAACATGTTTTACAGTATCTTTCTCGTTATTGAATAGCTACAATTCCTTCCTTGCAGAATAAATAGGAAAAACAAAATTTTCTGAGAATTATTTGCACGGGCCAACTAGTTATATATGAATATTGGTCTTTACTTGGAAAATATATTTTAATATATCAAACAAATTAATGAATATTTTAATAAACAACCTTATATGTATATACAATATCAAGTTACTTCGTTCACGACAGTATTTAGTAAACTTTTTATTAGTTATATTCCACCATTGACGTGGAGTCCTTAACACACATGGACAACTTTTGTTTACAGTTATATTTTTCTTATTATTCTTATATACTAGTAACGTTCCACTTTTTATCATCTATTATTCACAATATATTAATTTATCTTATAATTTTCTTAAAACTTACTAAAAATAAATTGTTTGTGGAGAGTGTAACGTATTGCCAACTGTCACACATCGCCTATTTGCCTATTAGATACATATATTGTACGTATCTACTAATACTGAGGAATACTATATTACAAATAAGGAAATGTTTCTAGTTTATTTAAAGAAAAATATAACTGTTGGGAGAAATCGTCCTCAAAGATTTGTTGAGGACCCGAAACGTCGAAGAAGGAAAATAATTTATAAAAAAATTGATTTAAAAACGGATGAGGTCATTTTTCTCTTTAAAAAATCTCACTTATCATTATTAATTTTTATTTGAAAACAAAAATTTATTCACACCTTTTAATTTAATTTTATTACCTTATCATTTCTTATTGTTCTTATCTTTCAATTTTTCTTTTTTTTTTTTTTTTTTTTTTCCTCCCTTATGAAAAAAAAATTAAATACAATTTTTATATATTTTTATATACTTAAAATATTACTAGTATCTGTTACATTATTATTATTTTCTATATTGTATTATTTTAAAAAATAATCTTATGCTTTAGGTGAGAACACGTACAACGGGGACCACTCAGATGCCCACCAAAGCACTTTCTCCCACAGCAGCAAGGAGGTGAGCGTGAGTTACCTTTTATTCATCTACGCTTTTGTCGTTGTGAAAAGTAGCTCAGTTGTGTGTATTTAGAGAATATTTATTCACAACTAGGAAATTTGCTTTATAATAGAGTTCCAACTTAATTTTTCCCCCCTTTTTTTTATTTTTTTTATATGAAATCAATAATTTTTTATATGTCTGTCTTATTTTAAAATACATGAAATACGTTTTCAAAACTATAGTTTAATCATGATTAGTTAGTATCGTAACCTGAGGACGAATTTGTGTGTTAAGTTGACACTCATATTTTTTTTTTTTCGCGGATCTTCGATCATAAGCTTATCAGTTTATTATCTGTATTTTAATATAATAATATTATTAATTTTAAAGGGTATTTTTTTTTGTCGTTGTGTCTTAATAAAATCCTATGATCGAGCCATCATTTTAAAGGTTATCTTCTCCAAGTGGGAAAAATAAGCACATCCCCTTATAAATGAGGATAAAAGTTATAAATAAAGGAAATTTCATTTGTGCATAACTGAAAATTTATACATTTTGATGTATAAATGATTCCCAAATTTCGTAAATTACAGGAAAAAAAATTATGAAAATTTGTAGCAAATATACAGTTAGTTATATTTTGTACACATTTTGGTTTATTATAAATCAAACTGAAGCGTTGTAATCAACCAATGATTAAAATATTAATCTCTCCCTCCTATAATATGTTAAAAATAACTTATTTTCATATTATATTGTCATTTTTTCACTGACCAATATATACTATGCTCGCTATTCGCACGGCCATACTAGTAATAAATATAAATATAATATATACAGTTTATTGAGTTATTTTATTTAAATGACTGCAAAATATTGAGGAAGAGGCAGAAAGTGAGTGCGTTGCCTCTAGTGATCGACAAAACTGTTTAAACATCAGTAGCAGTTGCAACAGTATCGCTATATTAAAAAAACAGGTATGTTCAAAATTTGACAAGCAAAAAACTCAAATATTCTATAGTCATAATATTTATAGACTGAAGTGTCTTCAAATCAATTATCAATTTAAATGTTAAATTCAATCATATCTTTTTTAATTTTACCAAACAACAAAAAAAAGTATTTATAATTGCTGATAAAAGCCAAAATGACATTAAAATTATAATCTTGAATTATAACATTTTTTAAAGGTATTAGTGAAAATAATTAACAAATAGAACTGAACTGAGAACTGTTTCTGTATCTGTTGCAAGAAGCTATTTAAACGAAACAGGTTTCTCTATCTCTTTAAATTAAACAGATTCAGTTTTTTCTTCTTTTGCCATCGGGATCGCTGTCTCAACCTAGTAAACTGTAAAGTGAGTTGTCTTGAGTAGGTTTCTAAATTTAGCACTGAGTTCATCGATGGCTTCATTTTGTTCCGTTTAGAGATCTATTCGATGGCATTGATGAGCTCAGCGCTGGTTTTAATAACAACCTACCCCCTCCTAATGGAAGGTAATCCCTATATCTGTTTAATCTCGAGTGAAACAGTTTACTGTAGCTGTTTAATGAAAGAAACTGTTTAAACAGATTGCTACTAACCACCCCACCACTACTTGCTTCCCTCATTGTACCTCTAATATTACAATATTCACTAATATATACTTATATTGAAAGATTGAAGGGAGTTAATCGACTGTTCTACTACATAGGCTTTTTTTAAAAAAAAAATTAAATTTTTTATTTGTTCCGTTTTAACCCAAACATGTGGGTCATCTTCAGGGTGTGATTTGAGCACTGAGGATGTTCAAGTACTCAACACCAGTACTTGAACATCCTCAGTGCTCAAACCACGCCCTGCAGATGACCCACATGTTTGGGTTGAAACGTTGGTACAAATAAAAAATTAAAAAAATACTGCATCCTGAATATTTATCACCCATCTTATATTGAAAGATTATATCATTATCTCCTAATTTATGTATATGTTTTATAAACGTATTTACAGACCAGGAAACAGAATTTTGGCAATTTGTTGATGTGTATCGTATGTTACTCAGTTCGACAGCTACTTGTATCTGAAAACATATTATAAACATTTGCTGCTAGCATTATAGATACGTTCATCATTATAGCTCTCCATACTGAAAATGAAAAAAGAAAAAAAAAGGAGCTGGCAGAGAGACTTTTTAAAAAATAGAACAAGCTATGGTGACTTATTTTCTTTTTTTATCAGTCGTATTCTATTGACACGAAGGGTCTTGGGTTCAGCACTGTGTAAGGAACTACTGTTTCAAGACCAACGGTGGTGCATGGATGTGATCAAACCGTGATCACGATCATCTGCCAGCCAAGTTTTCCTCCTTAATTAATTAAAAGTACCCACTTTATAGAGGCTGTGTGTGCCTCAAGAGGGTCTCCCTCCATAGTGGAAGTCAGTGCTTACCCACTAAGTTATTTTCTTCTTATTGAGTTTTTGAGCATTTAATTTTTATGTACATTTCATCTACATTGGTTTTAAATTTAAAATGAGATGCTATTTTTAATAATTTATTATATTTTAAATTTTTTCTCTCGATATTCCTTGCATTTGATTTCCTACAATGTGGGAACAGCTCTGATCATTTCAATCAGCTCTATTATGAGTTTCTTTTTCCGTATCATATTTACTACATAATACAATAAATCTTGAACTATATTATAATAATAAAAGATGTTCAAGCAATGAATTATAATAATTACCTACCTGATTAAATTTTCTTGGTTTGCTATTTATTTGTTGACGAGACACAGTTGGTGGTGGACAACAAGGACACAAGCAATAAATTTCTGTATTATTGTGCTGTTCTGTTTACTGCTAGTACGTTGCCCACCACTTAGTATCCAGTTCTGCGCCTACCGTAATGTCAGAGGATTAGAAAAATAAAATAAAATGTTAGTTTCATCTTAGTGCCACATGAGTTCGTCCTTAGGCTAATGACTAATTGCGGTAAAACTATAGAAGATTAAAAGAGTTAAACACATTTCTGAACTGATTCCTCAAAACAGAATAATGGGTGACAGAAAGACCTTCCTGTATCTACCGTTGAACCCTCGAGTGCTTGTGGCTTTTATAGTCACACTAGTATCCGTGCTGCAAATAGCTATCTATGACTTTTTTTTTTTGTCTTTTTTTACCGAGGCTTTTTCTCAAGAACTATAAAGGCCAAAAAAATATGATTATATATATTCAGTGTAACATTAAATTTTTTTCCTAAAACCAGGAATTATAAATGATTAAACCTATACTAAAAATTTTAATTATTATTAAATAGAAGAAGTTATAACTTTTTTCTATTATTAAAAAAGGTAAAAATCTGCTTTGTTTTAAAATAACATTTATTTGCTAATATGTCGCTTAATTTAGGTATTGTTTTCCTTTTTTGTCAAATTATTTTTAATAATTGTATTTTTTTTATTCCAAGCCCTTACTCGACAAGTCATTCTAAATTAGTAATGTTTCTTGTAATTTATTTCTTTATTGAATTTTTTTTTATTGCAAAACATTTTGTGTTTGATTTCTGAAAGAAAAAATAAAACAGTAGATAAGTTTAAGTTGCACCGCATGCTGTTTGATTTTTTTTTTATTCATGTGTGTAGTTTGTTTGTTGTTAGTTAATCTAGAATAATTTAGATATATTGTGTACATTTTATCAATATTTTATTGATAAAATATTTGAATTCGCCTTCTATCAAAGGTGGATAGACAACATTCATTTTCAGAATTGAAATAAAAAACCAATTTTTGTTATTAAGCTTCAATTGAAACTAATAATGATATTTATTTTTTTCATGATTCAACAAAACAGCGTTTATTGATACTGTGAAGGATCAATATAATTTTATTTTCACAGAACTTTAGTAATGAATTTTTTAACTTACTTTTTCTTGCTCAAATACCACAGAGAACATTTTTGAGTATCAGTAATTAGGGAAGCCTTGTTCAAGAATGTTTGTTGAATTTTTTCTGTATTATTTTTGACTTATTAAGTATTAAGCTTAAGCAACTGTATGCTAATGTTTCATTTTCAGATTTATTGTTTTGTTTGAATGTTGTTAGAGAGTTTTTAAAACTCTCTAATACCAGCAAATAATTAACAAGTCAATATTTTCTGATTATTTTATGACTGGAATTATAACTATTATTATTTTAATTATGGAAAAAAAATGCTAGTGCCATTTATTTTGTTTTATACTGTTTTTTTTTGTTTTTTTTAAGACATAACATTGTCCTCTAAACTATTTATTCTGAGTAGACTTCAATCACAGAATAAATAAAATTTATTTTTCATTATTAAGATTGCGTAGCGATGCAAATATTGGGTTGTCCGGAAAATAATACAGGATTTTGGTTTAAAAGGAAAGATTTACAACTGCTTTATTTAATCAAAATAGTCTCCCTTACTATCAATTGCCAACTTTTATATTCCCTCAGAATAGAATTTTCCATCTTTAGAATTGATAAAATTACAAAAGCACCTTGGTACGTTAGCAACATAACCTTACATACTGACCTCCATATGCCGACTGTTAACGAACACATACATACTCATTACAAACGATTCCATGACAACTTACATGGACATCCTAATACACTTATAAATGACATGGCCACTACGGATATGCCAGGTAACGTCTGTAGAAGACTGAAGAGAAGCTGGATGAGGGACCTCCTCGCCTAATGTAGATATCACGCTGAGTGAGGTGCCGCTGGGCACTGATCCTCCTCATGCCTTTCATGACATTATATTTAGAAATCGATCTCACTTTCACTGGTTGTCATTAGCATTATGACAGGTGTGAATAAAACATTAAAGCTAAAAAAAAAAAAAAAAAAGAATTGATAAATTCCAAAAACACATTTTCTAATTCTCTTTGTCCATTAAATTTTTTGTCATGTTAGTAGTTGTTGAGGTGTCTAAAAAAATGATAATCCGTAGGCAAGAGGTAGGGCGGATGTAGCAGAGTTTCATATATTCATATATAGTTTCATATTTCATACAAGTTCCAACAGTTTTTATGTCGCATGCGAGACATATGGCCAGACATTGTTATGCAACAAAATGGGTCCCTCGACTTGATTGACCAAAGAAGGCTTCAATCTTGCCAATTTCTGGCGCATTGCATTAATTTGTTTACAATACGAATACGGCATTAATGGTTTCTGCAGGATTTAAGAAGCTGTAGTGTATCAAACCAAATGAAGCCCACCAGTACAGTAACCATCGCTTTTTTTTTTTTTTTTTTGATGATGAGTTATGGGCTTTGGAAAATGTTCTGCTGCTTCTCCTTTGTCGAGCCACTGTCCAGAACGTCTATTGTTATCGTAAAGTTATACATTTTTCTGTATAGAAGTAACTTTTCTGGACAGAAAAGTGTCGTTTTTGGTTTGGCAAAAAAGTGAAGCAAAAATTCATATTGGTTTTTTTTTTTTTGTAGTTGTTTAATGTGTGTGGAACCTAACTTTTAAGCTTTTTTACCTTTCCAAACGCCTTGAGGTGGTCATCGACTGTCGATTCGCTAAGGTTAAGTTACCCTGCAAGTTGTTCTGTGGTTTTCTTCCACCAAAGCCCACAGAACATTAGGAACAGAAGGAATTCCTTTCACGACTTTCTTTGTGTTCAAGGTTGAACAGTGCACTCATTAATGCTGTTCTCGTCCCAGACTTGATTGATGTTTCTGGCCCTCTGTGTCTCATTACGGCCCGAGTTTAAACTCTTAAAAGAAAATTATACGAAAACCACGCATTTACATTTTACTAAAGACTGAATTATTTCCAAGCTTCGAAATTCTATTATACAAGCATTATTGTTTGGAAGAGGATTAAAAAGTGTTGGCATTCGTACAAATTAATAATCCAGTTAAACATTAACTGTTTGTTATATAGAGGGGTATTTTAAAGAAAACTCAAAATCCTGCATTACTTTCCGGACAACCCAACAATTTAAATATATTTTTAATAAATTCATTTAAAATTATTAATATAATTTTTCTTTTAATTGATATTAAAAGAAATCCAATTCTTTTGATAAAGCTTGTTTATTCTTATTGTTGGCAGGGTTCTCCTACAAAGGATCTCTCAACGGAAGACTCTCCGAAGAAGGACAAGAAAAAGAAAAAGGGATTGAGGACTCCTTCATTCCTGAAAAAGAAGAGCAAAAAGAAGGCCGTGGAGTCATGAATGAGCGCTGAATGAAGTGAATGAACTTACTCTCTACTACCACTGCCCCCCTGCTCCATCCTAAGTTTAGGTGCTTCGCGCACGTGCGCTCTTTACGCGTTCATCCTTCGCTCATCTCTGCTCCGTTGTTTCTTTCAGAACCATTTTATCAATTATTTACATTTTTTATGTGCTTATCAATGTACAGGCAATATATGAATTTAAAGAAAAATAAAAATTTAAAAAAAAAGAAAAGAAAAAGAGATATAATATATAAATATATTATTATATATATAAATAATTATTTAACTTTATGTGAAAGAGAAAAAAAAAAAAGGAAAAGAATAAGATGAAATCCCATTGCCTCGGAGGCAGTTCGTACTTGTATTAATAATTATTATTATTGTTTGTAGATCGATTATAGATTTTTCATTGCTCCCGTGTATTGAAAACGCTTTTCTAATGTTTTTATTCAAGTGGTTTTTTTGAATAAAATTTTATTGTAAAACCAGGATCGATGCAAACGAAAAAAAAAAATTTATAAAAAGAAGAACAATAAAACTAGTTTCGTTAATTGACATCAGATGATATGGTTAGCATCTAAGCCGAAAATTTTTCTTATTGCCATCTTTTATAGATAAATTAAATTAAATTAAAAATCTAGGCACAAGGAATTTGTTTAGACAGTAGGCAGCTTAGGAGAGAAGCGCTAAGTCGGCAAAAAGTTTCATTTAAATGATGTTATAGATCTTGAGTACGTTTTTATTATAAATGAAAGTCTCAAGAACATTACCACTAAATGTTTTATGTAAAAAAGAATTATCGATGTTAAAATTTTTTTTAAATAATAATCAAATCAAATTTAATGTTCACATAAATAAAAATGTGTGAGCTATATGTTTTATCACATTCGTTCTGGAAGTTTTATTTTGCTTTCTGTTTAATGCTGCGTTTGAATATGAAATGACACCACAATTTTGTGTATTTATTTTATAAATCCACTTTTTATTGTACTATTACACAAACTGTTAAATACATTTATTTTGATTGCTAAGGTTTGTTATTATTTTACTCCCATTTCCTTTATATATATATTTAATGTAAAAGGTTAAAATAAGGTAATTATTGCTTGTGAGTTGCAGTTACAGTGAAATATTCCAACAATATTATATTTAAGAGCACATGAGAACAGCATTTTGCAGACTGGACCAACAAAGTGTATCCACCACGGAATCATCACAAACTTAATTTTACCCGCTGTTCAAAAGTTATCCACTCACTCCTATAGTTACCCCATTTTGTGGTATGTCTTTCTTCAGTTATAATGATGGTCTGAAACTAAAATGACCTAAATGTCGAGACAAAGGAAAATAATTTTAATTTGTGTATTTCACTGTGACTGGAACCCTATTGATAATACTTAGTTTATGAAATGTATAATATGTTGGCATTATAACATTATTCATCAAGTAACAATTATTGGTAAAAATACAGTAAAACTTCCTGTAGTGAACAGTTCTCTATAGCAGACAGATTTATAATTCTCAGCAACTGATTGCAATAATTCTAAAGTATAAATAATTTCTGCGTAACATCTACCTTTTAATGGATTATAAAATTAGTAATTTTTTTATTTTATTAAAGTCAATATTCTGTAAATGTTGGTTAAAAAGAATAAAATTATAGTTATTATTGAATGACATTCCTTCTTTCCTGGCGTCTCTCGCCAAGCAATCTGATCTTTTTCATCTTGGATGACCTTGCAAGAATTTTGTCGGCTGTCGAGGAATCACATATGTACCTATTCCAGTGACATGATCTGCCCAGTATTTCACATGTGGACTGTTGAATGTTGTGGTATAAAAAAACTACTTTGAGATATTGAACACTTAGAGGAAGGTATAAAAATATATTAATAATAGGTAAGAGAAGAAGAAAAGGAAATTTTATTTTGGGACATTTAGTCTCCTGAGAATTTTTTATTTTTTTTTTATTTGGGATTTCTACAACTTAAGGAGTCATATCTCCAACAACCAAAAGCCACTGCTCTCTGTCAATCCAATCTCCTTCACGGAGCCCTCTGGCTACCATGCATTTCTGTTTTGGGTTTGAAAGCGAAATATTTTTTTCCGATGAAGGGTTGCTGGCCCGACGATCAACTTTTTTTAAACTGCAAGGACAATGGTTTGATTTTGGGGTTTCCTTCCCCTAGACAGGTTGCCTCCACTATGGCTATGAGTCCTGTCCACCCAGGTCACAGTTTAACGTCATGCCCAGGACGTAATAATAATATAAGTAACTGCAAAATATTAGTAAAAAGAGGCTGACAATGCTTAAATATAAAAGTTTAATTATTACATATATACCAGATCGATTGCTGAGGAGATGAATAATTTGTGCAGAAAAGATAAGTATTTGTGTATGGAGGTGTGTAAGTAATTTAAAACAAGATATCACATATATATTTTTTTAAAGGAAGCAATTCTATGAGAATTAATATATAGGTTTGGCCAGTGACATGCCCGGCAACATGATAACCGAAGTTTAGAGGAAAAATAATTACTAACTTTGTGTCCCACTGCTGGGGGAGCTTTTAACTCAGGCACTAATCCTCTGGACTGGGAAAAAACCTGTATAGTCTAACATGCGAGGAAGGGGAGAACAAAAAAAAAAAGGTTTCTGGCTGGGATCATTGGTGAATCTACGAGAGCTTTCTGACCAAAGTTCCCGTTCTCCAAAATGGTAAAATTAACCATTCCTTGTGAAAAAGTTATTAAAAAATGGTCTCTAAAATTATTATTTTTCGTCTAATTTCATTAAATAGGAATTAAACATCATTTAGAACAAGAATCACTTAAACACAATTTCATATTGGTAGTTAGGATCTTTCTTCTCCTTCCGAAGTAATAATTATTATATATATTAAAAAAAAAGCTTTCGGGCTGAAGCTCCCCCCAAAATTAAATCATGGATCCGCTAGTGGCTGGGATCTTGTGATTAGAAGAATAACAAGAAGATAAGAAGGGTTTTAGGTGGCAAATATTTGGAAAAAGAATATACTCATACTTAAGAAATATTTCTGTTCGGAAACCTGTATAGAGCCGCTTTCATTCAGCATGCCAACTGGGGACTTTAAAGATGAATCTAATGAAACAATTCATTAATCTCTTCAATCTGATTTCAAGCCCACCATACACAAGGCAGCCATAATCAAAGTGAGGAAACTAGGAAGTGACTAGTTTTAAGGTATAACATAGCTTATTTTGTTTTTTAAAAGAGTTAATTTCAAACATATCCAATTATTTAAAAGCATGAAAATTAAATTATGCTTACCAGCAAAACAAAAGGACTAATAACTAAAAGAAAATAAGAGACAACTTAATTAAGAAGAGATAACATTAATTACGAACATGGTAAGTTTCCAACAAATTAATAAAAATTGTTTTTTTTTAAACTATTTATTTATTGAATATTACAACATTCTGTCACTTGGATATTATTTATAGTGAGGTAGAATCACATTCATACTATATGTACAAAAAATATAAAATAAATAGAAGCAAAATAATAACTATCAAAAAGTATATACAATAATTAAAACAACTTTAAAAAAACACATTCATACATATTTATAATAAGGTAAGAGAACTCCTAGGCCGGATTGTCCCTCAAATTATGGGTGCAGGACAGGTGCATTTGTAGGTTTTAGGATCTGAGTTGGTTGAAATGATAGCGGTATCATCAGCGAATGTTGCAAGGAGGATCTATCGGGATGGATAGGAATATCTGTGATAAAAAGGATGGGACCTAAGACGCTGCCCTGCGGAACTCCCGCCTCAATTGAATAACAGTAAGAGAATTCAGTACCACAGTGAACTTGAAAGGAGCAGTCTAGAGAGGTAGGATAGCAGTATTATTAGATATATCATTTCGACCCATAATCCTAGATTTGTCGCAAACCTATTCATTTCTTCATCAGGTCAGAGAAGCAATGGCTAAGTAAAAACATAAGTCCTTCAGTGAAAACAATATCTTTTGTTTATAAGTGCTGTTTTTCTCTGAAACCTGATTTAAATAAGGGGACATATAGTTTTCAGTGAAAAAAAGTTCTCTATTAAGTCAACTCCAATATGCTTAAAAGTTTGTCTCTGTGGTCTAGTTATTGTGACTGTTAACAGTATTCATACATAATAACTCATAATGCATCAAATGTTCCCTCACCCCTCCCAACATATTTTATTCTTCTCTTCTTCTTAAAAACAGTGCAAATGAAAGTAAAATTTCAATGTTCGTTGATTATATACAATTACACATCCTGTGGTCTGTTCCATGATTAAACTTGTATTTTGATTTGAAACTTTTCATTTTGAAAATTCATAAAACTGTCGAAATGCACCCTCCCTCAAAAGTTGAAAACTCCATAAAAAAAATGTCTCCTCATTAATTTTGATAGAAAAACTTGCGCCATAAAACCCCCTTCTGAGCACCCCTGGTTAAAATATCAAGTCCCATGATATTATAAATTCAAAATTAAGTCGCAAAATGAAGATCTTCATCAATTTTATCCACTATTTCGCTTCCGGATACGCAAACATTAGGATGCACAATGGGATGAATGAACAATCTAGATGAAAAAAATTAATGGTGGTATTTTTTAAAAGCAACGTAATGAATGTTTAATAAGAAAACAATCATAAATTGTTTTGATTTTAGCGGTGCCTAACGGTAAATACAGCCCTGTAAACAATTCCTGATCTGACAGCTGATGTTTTGTTCAATTATTGTCTTATCATTCATTTAAGGTAAGTACTACTAGTTACCTAGTACTTAGGTAAATCATTCATCAAATTACCAATTCATAATTTGACCTATTAACTTATTAATTTCTACATATTCTAAAATAAGATAATTTTATAACTTCAAAATTAATTGCCTAAAATGTAACCCAAAATATCTCTGTACCTATCAAAATTCAGCCATATCCACATTCAAAACCCCCCTATTCCGATTCCTATCCCAAAAACAGTCAGATGCTTGCTAAACTTTTGATATTATACATTTATATTATATCATTCATCATCAAATGATAGTACTATTCCATACTGTAAACCTCACTGGGGATATTACAATATCTTCCTACTCTCAATGCCACTGAATGCATCTATTGTATGTTTTTTTTATTATTTTTATTCTTATACAAATAAATCTGTACCTATAGTTGCAATAAGATAATGACGTGTTTATATATTATTCATTATTTAAATACTTTGTCTTTTTATATTGTCCGATTCGTCTTCCATTTGTTAGTAGAAACACAGCTTATTTTAAAGGAGAACTCCATTTATTTCTCAAAAGTGTATAATTATAATTTTTCCCACTATTCTATAGTTTTAAGTGTCTTGGCATAGTTTTAAGTATTTTGTATATAGATTTTTTTTTTGTATATAGCTTGTTTAACTAATATTTTCTTTCTTTTTTCTTTTTTGTTATTTTTTTTTTTTTTTTATGCTAGATGCAGATCTTTTAATTCTTTACTATTTCGTTATTCTAAAGAGGCTTTGTCCCTGAATAAAGTTATTTTCTATTTGTACAATTTTTCTCATACGTTACTAAGTAGGTATATTATAATAATAATAATAATAATAATAATAAGGCTTAGCGAACCCGAAGGTTCGATGCCGACACCACCAATCGCTTGTTACACACCTCCCTCCACCGTTCGCCGTCCAAATCCAGTCCCTTCAGATCGGCTTTAATGCAATCTTCCCACCTTCGCTTCGGTCTTCCCCTCGGACGCTTACCATTCGGCACAGCAAATATTAACCTTTTAGGAATTCTCTCGTTACTAAGCCCAACAACTTTACAAGCCTATTTGATTCGCCGCGATGAAATTACCTCAATTAGGTATATTATACAAATATATCATTAGATTTTATATAGATATATAGATATAGATTTTATTTAGATATATCATTAGGCTATATATCATTAGATTTTTTTCAAATGCCGAATAACTCTCTCATTTTAATAGTTTTTTAAAAATAAAATAGTGGCTCAAAAAGTAAATAAAGGCAATAAACTCTTTCATTTTTTTTTTTTTTTTTTTTTTAGGTATATTATACAAAAATGAAAGAATTTATTGCATTTATTTACTTTTTGAGCCACTATTTTATTTTTAAAAAAACTATTAAAATGAGAGAGTTATTCGGCATTTGAAAAAAATCTAATGATATATAGCCTTTAATTAATGTTATTTAGCAACGATTCGAGTCGGAAAACATCTATGTTCTGCTGGGTTGAGAAATCAAATCAAATTGGCAGTGGTAAAAATTGAAACGAAATGGCAAGAATGTGTTAAATTAGTCTTTAAACATAATTTTTGATTGTGCAATACAATAAAATTTAAGTGCTTGTAGTGTAGAAACTTCACTAAATTCGTCTTCTTTGAATATTGGTTGAACTATTAAAGGATAAGAAAACTGCTATGCTCGAGGTAAGATAAATGAAATTCAAGATGCAATTCATACAAGAAGTACAGAAAAAATGCGTTCGCCACTAAAGCTAATTTACCACGCCAACTGCAATTGAAATAATGGATCAAACCTGAGTAATGTTCCAATAAAATTCATTTTACATATGTAGCATTTTAATAAGTAAAATATACAATACATTATTTTGAATCTGGACTTTTTTTAAATTATAAAATATAAAAAAGTTTTATTTTTTCCCTTCTATTACACTAAAATACAAATATTGTATTTTATTTTGAAATTGAAATGTACAAAACTTTCAATTGCGTTTTTTCGAAATATGTTTTTTGCACTTAACACACTATTCACAGGTGCCATAGCATTATTAGCAAAGAAACAGCCTATTCACACATATATTATTACAGTAAGGCTCGAAATCAGTTTTGTACTAAATATAAGATCCTATCATGCTCAAATACCATGAATGGGGTACCGTTGGATTCAGAATTTCACGGGGGTTTTAGCTTTTGTTTTTCTTTCTAAAATAAATAAAGTCGTTGTAAACATTTTGCTAGGCTTCAATACTGGAACGGTGGTAGGTCTGTAGATCGATATGGGACAAATTGGTTCTTAAAGATTTTGATGCGTGCACGCCCTGAGTTTTTAAGCCGAAAAACGTACTATTTTCGATGTAATGCAAAGCAAAGGTTCGCATCCACACAACCTTAGGTTAATTGCAGTACTGTCATTGAATACATGTCTCATTTCGTCGACTTGAGGCCTCTATGATCGAGAGAGGAGGAGTTTATATTATTTATCGATGGTGTTTTTGATTGGCAAGCCATATCATCTTTAATTTCTCACCAAATCTCAAAATTGAGCCACCAATTTCGAATGCTTCCTTCTCCTCCAGGCGGGCAAAATAGTCCAATCATCCCGAAAATTCAGGTAAAAAAGTCATGAAAGAAAAGAACCTTCACTTGCGAGTAACTCATAAATTACACACTTTTCCTTGGTCATGCCCATGATTATATAAAATATTACTAAATTCCCTACAAAAGGAAAAAAAAAATCATGGAAATCGATAACAAATTTTTCCAATTTGATTTTTTTTTTCGATTTTTTTTTTCTTATTTTCGATAAATATTCATTAGGAAAGTTCTATTATAGCCCATTTCATTTGGAAATAACTATATATTTGGCATTTAGCTATAGTATGAGTACGATGTATAAACTATTTGTACTAACGGAATGAGGAAAATGGATTCAAATATTTTTCAATGAAAAACAGAGTTGAGATTTGTATTTCGTACCTCGATAAAGCCTCAAATACCAATGTCCATAAAAAAAAAAATTGTTATTTTGCATCAAATCGGAACTAAGCCTCTTTTGATTTTCTTTTGACAAAAAGTGGAATAACATCAAAACGATTCCACTTATCCTCACAAAAATTTACATGAAGTTGTGTCCATGGTTATATAAAATATTACTAAATTCCGTACAAAAGATAAAAAAATATCATCGAAATTGGACAATTATTAGCAAAAATACAGCTTATTGAAATTTGTAAACATGTTGGTTCCAAATATCAAAGAAATTTTAAATTAATTTTTGTTACTTTTGTCGATTATATTTAGCTTGAAAGTTAATATTTTTGAAGGTCACCTTTTTCTCGAGTTTGTGCTCAAATTATCTTACGATTCAAGTGTAAAGCAAATAGCAGATATTTACGAGTTTTTAGTACCTAATTAAATAGACAAGGTTTGCCCACCTTCAGATTGAAAACGCCCCAATTCCGAGGATTTTCGTAAATAAAATAGTTGGAGGTTACGATGAGATGAAGCTATTTATGATGTTTCAGGCGAATGCACTAATGGATCCAGGATTTAGTTTTTTTGCGGGGGACTTCAGCCCTAAAGATTTTTTTAAAAATATATAACGCTAATTACTTAAGAATAAAAAGAAAGGAACTAGCTACCTATATGAAATTGAGTTTAAGTGATTCTTTAAGTACTATTAAATGTGATTATACGAACAATAATACTTTTAGAGGTAATTATTAAATATTTTATTTATAAGACATGGTTATATTTTACTATTTTTGGGGAGGGGGGCATCAGACCGAAAGCCCCCTCTTTCGGACTGAAGCCCCCTCCCCAAACGGTAAAATGTAACCATGTTGTATGGTAAAAAATTATGTCTTAAAGTATTATTGCTCGTTTAATTACATTTAATAGGAATTCAAGAATCACTTAAACACCATTTCATCTAGGTAGTTAATCTTTCTGTTTTTCTGTGTTCATAATTATATATATATGTGATATATATATATATATGAAAAAAAAGCTTCGGGACTGAACCTCCCTCCCAAAAAAAAAAAAATAAATCCTGGATCCGCTAGTGGTTGTAGGTTAGGATGAGATGAAGCTATTTATGATGTTTCAGGCGGATACATTAATGGATCCAGGATTTAATTTTTGGGAGGGAGGGGGCTTTAGCCCTAAAGATTTTTTTTAAAAATATATAACGAAAATTTTCTTTACTTATTTCTCTTTATTTTTACTTTTTATGTTTGTTTTTATTTAAGCCAGACATAATATTTTAATTATTAATTTGTTATTCTTAAGGGTCTCAGAATAAAATTATTTTCTATTCTATAATTACTTAAGGAGAGAAATAAATAAATTAACTATCTGTATGAAATTGAGTTTAAAGTGATTCTTTAAGTACTATTACACGAACAATAATACTTTTAAAGATAATTGTTAAATATTTTATTCATAAAACATGGTTATATTTTACAATTTTGGGGGAGGATCAGACCGAAATTCCCCTCCTCTCTTCGTAGATCAACCCGTGGGCGGATATTTATAATTTGATAAAAAGGGATATGTACCACGGATTATATTGGATCACAGTTGGATTTACGGAGGGGGGCTTTCGAGCTGAAGCCCCTCCCTCCCAAAATGGTAAAATATAACCATGTTTTACTGAAAAAAAAATATTAAAAACTATCTCTTAAAGTATTATTGTTCGTGTAATTACATTTAATAGGACTTCAAAAATCACCTTAACACCATTTCATATAGGTAGTTAATTTCTTTATTTTTTTTCTAATTAATTATGGTTATATATATATATGAAAGAAAATGTTTAGGGTTGAAACTCCCTCCCCCAAAAATTAAATCCTGGATCCGCTAGTGGATCTGTCTGTAGGCGGATATTAATAATTTGATAAAAAGGGGTCTATACCACGGATCACGGGCGGATCTACGGGGGGAGGGGCTTTCGGGCTGAAGTCCCCCCCCCCAAAATGGTGAAATATAACCATGTTTTGTCGAAAATAATATTTAAAAAGTATCTCTTAAAGTATTGTTGTTCGTGTAATTACATTTAAAGGGGCTTTAGGAATCACTTGAACACCATTTTATACAGGTAGTTAGTTTCTTTCCTTTTTTCCAAAGTAATTATCGTTATTTTTATGAAAAAAACAACTTTCAGGCTGAAGCCCCCCCCCCCCCAAAAAATAAATCCTGGATCCGCTAGTGCCACGGACTAACGTTGGATTAACGTTTTGTCATATATTGTTTTTGATTGACGTATTTACTTTGTGAATTATTGGCACGAGCCATAGGGCTCAGGGTAACAAAAATTGAGCACCATCCAACTTTATAAAATTCATTTCATTTATTATTTCCATGAACAGTTACTGCTCCGTTATGGTTTCGATCTCACAATACTTTACTGTTGTTAGGAAACCATATTGAATAATTTATGCACAAGTAAAATTTACATTTATATTTATCATAAAAATGAGGAAATGGAAACAGTAACTATGTTTAATTCAATATCCGTATTGTCGAATCGACCTCGAAGAGTTCTTAAATAATGGTTCAGAAAATCCTTGATCGTTACATTAGTATTATTTCCGTTGTATCAGACTACTCGTCTTTCCGCTCTTCTACTTTGTAAGAAATTGTTCGTTTTTATTTTCGGGAGTTTCGTATAAAAAAAAAAAATTGTTTATTTTTAAATTAGTAAAACGTCGAACATTGCTTGGGCTGAGGTAAGCATTATTTTCTCTATCGGTCAGCATATTCAATAGGCCGTGGCGTCTATCTCTTCAATATCCTATTGTTACCTGTAATATTATCGCCATTTTTTGAGATAGTTCTCTCCTTTGTGGTATACGATGATAAGCTTCCTCGTCGTGTTGTCTGCTACGTTCGCCGTAGCCTGCTTTCAGGATAAGTTCGTATACTCCGACCAGGAATCTCCCGTCAAGTTGACTTCGCAATCTGTGAAATTCCTCTTCTTCAATTCCTCCGGAGTAGGAGAACCTCATGCAGTCACTGACGTGAAATATCTGACGAACGAGGATTACGACAATCGAAAGAAGACAGTCGTTTTCATCCATGGATTTGCAGATTATTATCCTGGATCTTTCATGATACCGTTGTTAGTACAGGTATAGGTACAAGTTTATTTTATATCTTTGTAAACTACTTGTTTTTTCAAATTCATATATATTAATAAAATATTACAATAAAAAAGAGCATGAAGAGTATTTCATAGTGTAGATCCCTTTCAGGACGGTTCTACAGAGGGGGCTTTCGGGTTGAAGCCCTCCTCCCCAAAAAATGTGTAACCATGTTTATGGTAAAAAATTATCTCTTAAAGTATTATTGTTCGTGTAATTACATTTAATAGGACTTCAAGAATCACGTAGATACCATTTCATATAGTTAGCTAATATCTTTTTTTTTTTTCCAAATTAATTATCGTTATATCAATGAAAAAAAAAAGTTTTCGAGCTGAAGCTCCTCTCCAAAAAAACAAAACGAATCTTGGATCCGCTAGTGGAAAGGGACGAATCATAGTCATATTGTCCCTTTATCGTCGATACATAAATATATAAATCATCGATTTATATATTCCCTCCCATAAAACCACTTTCTTCAGTAAATCCTTCATCATTCGTGCTACCTCCTTATGGAACTCCTTACCCATCACCATACGTCAAACCACGTCCATAAACTTCTTCAAACAACTCCAATTCCACCACCTACTACAAATTCAAACTTCAGCAAGCTTGTAAGAATTTCTGGGTCATATAATTACGTTGGCCACCAGCAGTTAATTGATTGAAGTTATTTTATTTTTATTTATTAATTTTTTATGTCTCAGTATTTTATTGTATATATCTGTGTATATCGTTATTATGTTTTGTAGATATATAAATTTTCCTTGGTACTTTTATTAATTTTTCTTTATATATATATTTGTATTTCTCTTAGCATCTTTGTGTTTGTATATATATATATATGCTTACAATTTCCTAGGTATTTTTTTTATATATTTGTATAATACTTACATGCCAGACTAAGGTACATATTCTGTAAACTCTACTATTATTCTAAGGGGACTTCAGTCCCAGAATAAAATTATTTTTCATTTCATTTTAATCGTCCAAAAATTTCAGTAAATAAGTTATGAATGAAAACAAATTTTATGTTAAATTCTCTAAAAAAACAAACATAAAATCATAGAAATCGGATCATTATTAGCAAATATAAAGCCTAAATTAACACAAGCGGATCCAGGACTTAATTTTGGAGTAATTATACGATAATTACTTTAGAAGAAAAATAAAGAAACAACCTATCTATTTGATATGGTGTTTCATTCATTCTTGAATTGCTTTTAAATGTTATTACAGGAATTGTAATACTTTTAGAGATAATTTTTTAATATTCAATAATAAACGTGAACATCTTAAGGAAGACACAAAATTGTGCTTAACTATTCCGTTCGGAACCATCCATAAAATAAACTATTTTGTCGAAAATTTTGTCTAGAATCACCCACCAGAGTTGGGCCATTAAGAACTGACATAATCTGTATAAATAAAACGGTGTATAGAAATCGCACAAGTGCGCCTCTCTCCCTTCCCCCCCCCCCCCAAAATATTCATAGATAGCAGGTTTGGTTATATTATTTTTAATAATGAACTACTGTAAGAAACCAAGGAAATGAGATATTCCACCTTCTCATTGCATTTACTTATTTCCATATTGTCATTTTTTTATTGATCAATAGTATACTATACGAATTATTCTCACGAACCAACTATTAACTTGTTATTATAACTAATTTCCTTGTGCGAATAATAAGCCAATTATGTTAGTCAGTGTGCAATTGTCAATATAGTATGGAAATAACAAAAGAAAATATATTATGAGATGTAAGAATTTTTTTCCTTGGTTGGTTTTATTGGATCGTTCAAATTAAAAAATAAAAGATGTGTATAAAATATAATTGTATCTTTGCTAAAAATGGTCCATTTTCGATAATTATTATTTTTCGTTTGTATGAAATTTAGAGATATTTTTTTAGAAATAGAAATAGAAAATAACTTTATTCTGGGACTAAGTTCCTTTAGAATAGGCCAAAATAAAACAATAATAAAAAAAGAGAAAGTAAAGAAAATATTAGTTAAACAAGCTATATATATAAAAAAAAAAAAAATCTATATACAAAACACTTAAAACTATGATAAAACACTTAAGACTATGTACAGTAGGAAAAATTATAATTATACTCTTTTAAAAAATAAAATAATAAAAAATACATTGAGTTCTTCTTTAAAATGAGGTGTGTTTCTGCTAACAAAGAAAAAACAAAGCTGGCAATATAAAATATCAGTGTCTTTAAATAATGATTAATATGTAGACTCATCATTGTCAAATGCTAGAGGTACAGATTTAATTATATACCAATAAAAAATAATAATAAAAATAAAAAAAAGCAAACAATAGATGCGGTCATTGGCATTAAGAGCCGGAAAATATTGTAATATCCCTAGTGGAGTTCACAGTATAGAATAGTACTATCATTTGATGGTGACTAGAAATGTATAATATCGAAAGTTTAGCAAGGATCTGACTGTTTTGGGGATAGGAATTGGAATAGGAGGGATTTGAATGTGGATATGGAGGGAGAATGTCGAATTTTGATAGGTAGAGAATTCCAGAAATTGACAGCGCGAGCTATAAAGGAATTCTGAAATGAGGCAGATCTGTGAGAAGGGATGTAGAGGTCAGAAGGTCGAGATCTTGTTGAAAGAGAATGGACTGAGGACTTGAATTGGAGAAGGCGTAAGAAGGACGATCTTTCAAATTATCATGAATGTACTTTCTGAGTATTTTTTTTTCGTTTCTTAATAACTATTTTTAGTGAATTATCTGTGGAATGTGCTTATGTTTCGCACCTGAAGGAGAAGATAATTTTCAAAATGATGACTCAATCCTTGGATTTGATAAACAATTAATGAAAATATAGCGTAGCTTACAAAACGACTCGCTTGGCCATGTATTTCGATTTCCATACAAACGAAAAAAGTAATTACTAAAAATGGACCATTTTTAGCAAAGATATAGCCAATTATATTTTATACACATCTTTTAATTTGTTATTTTGAATGGTCCTTTATAACCGACCAAGGAAAAAAAAATTCTTAAATCTCGTAATATATTGTCTTTTGTTATTTCCATATTATATTTGCAATTGTTTACGAATTATTCGCACGTGGAAATTAGTAATAATAACAAGTTAATAGTTGGTTCGTGAGCAACAAACCATGTTAAACAAATGACAATATGGAAATAAGTAAATACTATGAGAAGGTGGCATTTTTCATTTCCATTCGGTTTCTTACAATAGTTCATTATTAAACACAATATAACCAAACCTATTGCGGATCTATGAATTTTCTGAGGGGGAGACCCCAATGTGATTTCCATACACCAACGTTTTATTTTTATAGGTTATCTCATGTTCTAATTTCCAAACTCTGGGAAGAGGAGGGGAGTGATTGTAGACAAAATTTCTAACAAAAAAGTTCATTTTATGCTTGATTCCGAACGGAAGATTAAGGCCTAATTTTGTGTCTTCCTTAAGATGGCCACATTTTTCATTGAATAAGAAGATATGGCCCAAATACTTAAATCATTAGACAAGGATGAGCCTGAAATGGACTTCAATTGGGTTTCTCAATTTAGAGCAATAGTCGAACTTAATACCTTTGCAGAAGAGCTTTCTGTTCACCACACAAACGGACTTCTTCGATACAAAGACGACATCCTTGAAAAAGCACACAACCATTATTTCTCAGCCGACATACAAAGAACTTTAAACTCAACTAACTACCCTTTATACAGAATTCTATGCAGTTACAATGCTCCCGATCCGAAAGTACATTACATCAAAGCCATAAGAATTGAGATGTGTCAATTAAGAGTTGCAAACCCAGAACATATCAGAATCTATACAAAAAACTGAACTTTTTCGATCGAGTCTCAAGAAACTTGTATATCATGCAGTCAATTTATCTGCAATAGTCTACATCACATTCTCCTTCACTGCCCAGCATACAATGACTATAGACAAAAATTCCTTCAAAACTTCATCTCAAAATCTTCTGATAACCACAACATGGAAACCATATTGAATATCGATTGTATAGATAAGTTAAATAAAGTTTACTACTATATGATGAGAGTGCACAAAGTGCATACACAAAATTGGTGAACATAGCCGTGTTCTATTAAGTGTTTGTTTTTAGTTTATCTTAAGAGTAATATTTTGTTTATATTTATAAATATTTTTATTTTTTATTGTTTCTATCATAGTAACAGGTTCATATAACTATTATTGTGCAGTAGTCGTTTTTTTGTTTATAATTTTTATTGCTATTTATGTTTTTTAAAACTCATTCTAAACGTAAAATATTGTAAGTTTTATTTATTTTTAAATGATCTATATATAACTTGTGAAACCATATTATTCTAAAATAGCCAAGCTAGGTTCTATTTGTATGGGGAACCCACCAAAACAAATAAATTTCTATATATATATACTATTCAAGATAATTAAATTCTAAGCACACCATCGTAAAGAAGATAAAATTTTCTTTGAGAAAACAATGATTAAATTTACTAAGGTTAATGATAAAAGGTACTTTGAGGCACGGGCGGATCTACGGGGGGGCTTTCGGGCTGAAGCCCCCCAAAATGGAAAAATATAACCATGTTTTATGGGAAAATTTTTTTAAAAATACCTCTGAAAGTATTATTGTTCGTGTAATTACATTTAAAAGTAGTTAAGGAATAACTTAAACACCATTTCATATAGGTAGTTAGTTTCTTTCTGTTTTTCCAAAGTAATTATCGTCATTTTTATGGAAAAAAAAGGGTTTCGGGCTGAAACCCCCCCCCCAAAATTAAATCCTGGATACGCTAGTGCTTTGAAGAGGTCTAATACGACCGCTGTACTGCTGCAGTTACAGTAGCCATACACGAGCAATATATCTCTGTACAGCGGCCGTATTAGACCTCCTCAAAGTACCTTTTATCATTGACATTAATAAATTTAACCACTATTTTTTAAAGAAAATTTTGTATACTTTAC